TCCAGGTAGTCTCATTGAGCCACAATAACTCATTTTCAAGAGAGACCTGTTTAGGGAGCAGATGGTGGGGGCTAAGGGCCTTGCTCAGGGGCCCAGGGTGGGGCGAATGAGGGTGGAGGGAGGTGTGGGTGTTTCACCTTTTCCACCCACATTTTGATGTTGACGGTACCAGGAGGTGAACCTGCAACTTTCCAGTCACAAGCCCATCTTCTAACCTCTGTGCCACCACTCCCCCTATGCAATAAAACAAACAAATGTAAAAGATCATTGTAATACTTGGTTTATTTACATAATGACTTTAATCGTTGAATGTCCGGCCCAGCGGCCCCAGTCAGAAGCTGTGGCCCCCTGAGCAGGAGTGTTGAACAGACCTGCTGTAGGCTGAAGTTCGGATCCAATCGCTATCATGGATACAGCCCAAGTATTTAATTGGTATCGGATCGATAGCCAACTGCAGTATCAGTTCATCCCCTCAGAAACAAGCTGAGATCTGATCTGACAAACACTGAAACTCAGACAAAGAATGCTTCAAGAATCAAACTGCATTCATAGAGCAAAAAGAAAAGGTTTCATGTTTTAGCTTTGAATTTGGGGCTGATTGAACTCAGAGGCCACAATGACCCAAATGCAGGCAAGCAGGAGGCAGATTCAGAAAAAAATGAACCCAAAAGCTGGTTTTGTTTGCAGACTGTGAACATTTTTCAAGTGCATAGTGCCACCTGCTGTAGAAGAGAGCTCAACATCAACACCTGTTCTTCCCAGCAGCTGCTTCACCTAAAGGTCTGGTTGTCCTCATGGTTTCTTTCTCTCTGTCAGAACTCGACATTTCTTTTAAAGTCCACTCTCATCCTACCTTTCGCACTTCAGTTTTCTGCTTATGTTAAGTTTAACATTTTCTTTGACTCCACAGTGTACACAATTAGGATAGTTTATTTTCAACAGTACAAACTTGGTGCTGTTTAGTCCTGTGACCTAGCATGAGCCTTAAAAAATAATTTTTATTGATTTACTCTTTGTAGTTTTAATTGTGTGAATGCTGATTCAGCATTCATACTTTTGTATTTTTCTATTTTTTTTCCCACTCGTACCTTTTTTATAACCTGTTGTTGCATACATATATATATATATATATATATATATATATATGGGGAAGGGTGTTATGACTTGTGGTTTCTGTAACTTTTATACTTTATACTTTACAACAATTAAAAACAAGATTAATACGATTAATAATGGAATTCTGGATGAAGAAATTCAGCAACTTTTTTAAGTGTTGTATATATTTACACTCAAATTTATTGAGTAAAGTACTTTGATGTTAGACTAGATTTTAAAAAGTGCTGAAAAAAATCAACTTACAGGAACAGAAGTCTGACAGAAGCCACGCATTTGAATGACAAGCTCTGGTTTTACGACACTCCACCTCCCTGATCCCTGTCGCATATATGAGTAAGTGGAGGAAGAAGGGTGACACCTGCTCCTCAATTTATTACATTTATTGTTTTACACTTGTTAAAGCAGGGCACCAGCCGGTCAGTTTACTGACCAGAAACAACTTCATTAATGTATTCACCCTAATCAGAACTCAGTCAATGAAGTGGAATCTGTTAATTACAGGGAAATCTACCATGATAAATTAATATTCATTCAAATGAAGAGACCAAAATTGTCTTTGAAGTAAAAAAAAAAAAAAAAAGACCCAAAGAATGATCAACAATAATAAACTATTTTTTTGGGGCTTTTATACGCATGCAAATTTAGATAAAGTTTAGCTTTTAAATAGTTTACTTTGGATTTTGATTGAGAGAAGTTATTTATTGTGCCCAGATCAAGTCACTTATCATCACTACAAGTCAAGAAATGATTTATCACGCTGCATCAGTTAAAATGGCATAACCAGACCCAAAGTTGCACCATGTCACAAGGTCTCTGCTCCTTACTGAGTCAGTGTTGAGAGCACAAGTATGCTCGTCTTTCTGGGGTTCTGCTGGTGGATCAGACCAGGATACACCACGAGGAGAGGACTAGCCAGGAACTACCCAAGGTAGCAGAAAGTCACTGTTGCAGCTTCAGGGGTCGGTGAGAACGACATCAGTTGAGAAGGTGTGTGAGCCATCAGCAACCTTCAGCCGTCTTGCACTTTAAGCCAAAAACGTGAGTCTTGCAGTGAGAAAAACAACACATCATCTTAGGTAGTTACTTGAAACTTCTACTTCTAACAAATTTTGTAACTGAGCAAACATTTTCTTTCGCAGGAATAAATGAAGACAGATATCAGATGAACACATGAGGATGGGGAAAACAGACAAACTGCAAAGTGTCACACAAAGAAACTTTGAACTCTCAGCTCTCAGAAGTGTTTTTGGGATCTCTCAGATGTCATGACTCCCCTCTGAAGTAAACTGCTTCCAGACATCAGAATCAGAATCAGAATAAGCTTTATTATCATTGCACCAAGATACAACGAGAACATGTACGTACAGTCGTCCGAAAGATGGACGTAGTGCACAAAGCTGCTGCTAATTAGCACAACCCTCCTATTCTTATTCAGAATAATATTTTTGCTTAGATGAGAAAAGGGAAGAAAACATGAGGAGAGAAGGTATAAAAAAAGATCTCTCACGCCGTGTCAGGGCACGGTTTGAAGCATCAAAAAAACCTACCACAGCAAAGCAACATAAACAGATGTGATACATATAGGCCGGTGAAGGCATTGAATTTTAAGGGAAGGTCGTAGCATAGTCCAGAGCCACCCTCAGCCATTGTCCAGATAAGAGGTGTTTGTTATCATCAGCTCGGTTGACGTTCCATCACATGTCCACGGCCTTGGGGAAGGGAGGGGTGAGGAGACAGACAAAGCATCTTTGTTTTTCCTAAACATGCCAGGAGGAGTTGAGATAAGTCTGCCGTCAAGGCCACAGTTTGGGTCAGGCAGAACTCGTAAATTTTCTGCCTTTTAAAGTCTCGCTGGTACATTTCTCTGATGGTGACTCCAAACAGCCGAATTGATTCTTTATGCCTAAAGTCGAGCTCACAGCTTCTCCAAGATTATTCCCACCATTCATGGGTGCCGCCAGAAAGTTCACAGTCCTGATAACAGCCTGCTCCAGCTCTCTGACGCAGCTCCACATAATTCAGTCTGAGTGCTGCCAAGCTTCGACACATCCACACGAATTTGTAGACAATCCAGAGTTCACCAACCCAAACAGCAGAGTCCAGTTGTCATCCCGAATCCAATTTGTTTCCGTCGAGGTAAGAGGGTCCTCCTTACCCTGACTTCCTGTTGGGAGAAGTTGATCATTTTTGTTGATATACCAGCTGATCAAAATCCTTCGAATTAGGAAGGTATGCAGGAAAAAAAGAGGCTCATGAAAGGGTTCACAAGACGAAAGAGAGCAAAGCTGGGAAACGGGGGATGGAGCAGAAGAGGTCATGTCTGTCTTCACCGGAGCACAGAGAGAGAAAACCATTGAGATATCTCTCAAGGAAAAGTTCTTTTCTATAAACAGAACAGAGAAAGTTTGTTAAAACATAGTATAATATGCGTGATGCATGCTCAATAATCCAGGTAGAACAATCAAAAAAAGTTAAGTCTGGTCCTCTGGACATTCAAAAAACAAAACAAAACAACAAAACTCCTCCTTGAATCACCACTTTATCGTGGTGGAGGAGTTTGTGCACCTGAATGATCTTAGGAGCTATGCTGCCGGGGGCAATTATAATTGTCCCTGCTAGGGTCTCCCAAGGCAGATTGGGCCTAGGTGACAGGCCAGACAAAGAGTGATTCAGAAGACTTTTATGGGCATGACAAAGCAAAGAACTTGGTGTCCCTTGCCAGGACGTGGGTTACCAGGGCCACACCCTGGAGCCAGGCCTGGGGGAGGGGCTCATCTGTGAGCGCCTGGTGACCGGGTCTCTGCCCATGGGGCCCGGTCGGGCTCAGCCCGAAGGAGCAGCATGGGTTTGCCTTCCTGTGGACACACCACCTGCAGGAAGGGCCATAAAAGTCAGGTGTGTGATGCTATGGGAAGTGGCCGAAGTGGCGTGATTGGGAGGAACGGCCTCTCTGATCGGAACCCGAGCGGTGTTCTGTTGTTGGGCTTCTGTGCTAGTCATAGTTTGTTCGTCACTAACACCATGTTCGAACCATGGGTGTCCATAAGTGCCTGTCTTCTCTTCGCTTTAGGCGAGCCGATTTGCCCTGTTGGCACGCATGCAGCTAGATATCTCATTGACTGGAAGACTTGATGATGTGTCTATCTCTACTGCCATTTGTGGATTTTAAGGACCCATATTTAATTGGATTTACGATAACTGGTTCCTGCTTTTTGGATTCGGCTGGTTGCTGGTTTTATCAACAATCAAGGAAGTCGTCGGCAACAAATTTGGACGCGATCACTCTGCTTGCCTTTATGATGGCTTGGTTCGTGCCCCGACTCAAATGCTTTGGGGAGAATGGATCAGATCTTGGGGATTTTACTCAGTCACGTTCCATCGGTGTAGCCTATTTGGACATTTTGGAACCGAGTGGACCAACACAGATCTACTTTTAGGATTTGTATGGAACTCTGATGTTTAAGGTCAAATTTATGCAGAAATACAGAAAATTATAAAGGCTTCACAAACTTTCAAGCACCGCTGTATGTTATCCTTGCTGGAATAAACTTTATTTTTTCATGTGGTGTGGTCTGTTTTTCCTAATAAAACTAAATAAATGTTTATCAAGAGTTCTGTAAATTTCAAATGTACATTGAGAGAGAGAGAGAGAGAGAAAGAGAGTTGCACAGTAATAAAGCTTCACAGTCTTTACATGTGTTAAACCTTTTTTGTTTGATTAACGATTGTAATCCGATTATAATTCAGATCTCTCTTGTAAATGAGTCTCCGAGGCTCATTGGGGTTAACCTGTATAAATAAAGGTTGAATGAAAAAAATGCATTCAGCGCATTTTGTTACCTCTCATTTGGACGTGCCCAGTTACGTCATGACGTCACGGACGTCGGAGGGAGGTCAAGATTTCGCGACGCCATGTTGGTTTCGTGTTTAAAATATTAGATTAGTCGCAACCCGTCCCCACTATGGATAAGACTCGCTGTCCTTGATAAAACTTGTCTTTTGACGTACGTATGTTTTTGTATAATACTTCAAAACAATACTTGTAAGGTTGTGGGATTGTACTATGTAACAAATCATAGACGTTTTCGGGGTGTCCGATGTGACAGCTAATGAGGCTAATGCTAAGTAGTGGTTAATGCTAACTAGCTTCCTCAGCTAAGATAGTAAATGGACTGTACTTATATAGAACCTTTCTGTCTTATCAAGACACTCAAAGCTCTTTACACTACAATCTGTGCCTCATTTACCCATTCATACAGCACTCTACTATATATCTACAAAACTAATTGAACAAATCATTCTAAAGAGATTAATCAGTTCTTTATCACATTCATACACTGATGGGACACACATCGGAGGCAATGAGGGGTTCAGTGTCTTGCCCAGGGACACTTCGGCATGTGACTGCTGGTGGATTCGAACCCCCAACTCTTGCATTGGAGGATGACATCAAGCATTAGTCGTCCTCCAGTTTCACTGTTGATTTTAAAATATCTGTTTTCAAATAGATGTAAAAAGTACTAATTTTGTTAGACATACACATTTCTACACATATTCAGAAACTGACAAATGCACCAATTTTATCAAGTTAAAGTAAAACTTAAAGAAATCAGACTTTGGATTGTTTGTCCCATGTTTGTATTTTCTAGATAAGCGTCAGTGTTGTTGAAGACACTGGAGATCATTATTTGTTAAAAATAACCTTTGTCAATGTTTTTCAGACGTAGGTATTGATAAAACACAGTAAAGCATTTGTTAGGGTTAAAGACGGACTTTCAACCAACTTGTTAAATTTAGTTTGACCAAAAATTACATGAATACGAGTGTTTTTTAATAAAAATTACAATAAAAAGTTAAATTTTTGTTGTTATCCTGTCCAGATTTCATGCAGCAAACTAGTTGGGCTGCCTGTTTGAGCTCAGTTTTTTATTAGATATTAGTAAATATGGATAAAAAAAACAAAACATTTGAGTTTATCTGTTATAACATTATTAATATTCTCAGTTTGATGTGACTCAAGTTTTCACCTGAGGGTTTTATTCCAAATATCAGTGATGAGTTTTACTGTTAGTCTGTTTCATACTTTATGTAAAAAAACAAAAACACTGGACTTGTATTATGAAGCTGACAACGTTTCGCTTCTCATTCAGGAGGCTTTAAAGAAATGTTTAGTGAAATGACTTCAGCTTCACAATAGAAGTCCAGTTGTTTTCTTTTTTTATTTTGACTGATCATGACCTGAATGACTAAGAACGTTCACCAGCATTTGTCCTGACGTCCTCACCTTCTCTCGTTGGCAGTTGAAGCCAGCAGGATGAGTTGTTTTACAGATGCTGCCATGACACTAACGTGTATAAATAATGGTTGAATTAATGTTGTATTTTTGGAGCCAGACCAATGTGGGGCCTTAAGCCCTGCCTGCTTTAATGAAAAGGCTGCACAGTCTTGGTCTAAGACATTGTTTGAACAGCGTTTAGAAGATCTCTTCTGAAATAATTTGATCATGTTGGATTGTGGTGAGATATTCTCCAAGGTCTCCATTTGTAAACATGTCTTGTACTACATAAACTACATTTCTTTTGGTGACCTTATTTATAACAAATAGTTTTCCTGTTTGCAGAATGAATTTTACGTCATGGGCCCACAACCATTTCACTTTTCCCTCTCTTGTTTTCATATTAGGTTTTATTGTCATTGTATTTTAGAGAAGACTGATCAGATTTTAAAAAAATATCCACAATATTTATCGCGTGTTGCGTCGCCCTGTTAGTTTTAAGACTTAGCTAGGTCTACTAAGTGTAAAGGTTTTAAATGTCTAAATAAATCAGTTCTGTTGGATGTAGCGTTATCGCTACAATCAGAAGTAGCTGAATTGCAAATATATTACAAGTAGCTTATTTCTGGTTTAATTTTTAAGGCATTTCCCTACTACAGACACGTTGGCATGACACGTCACACTGTCCAACAGCTGCTATATTGTAAAACCATAGACAAATAGGTCAACAACAGGAGTGGTGTAGTCAGCACTTCGATACAATCAATGAAAAATCCTCTATCTCTCTATAAGGACCTCCATCTGGAATTTGAGATTAGCTTTTTGTATCTATTGTATTTAACATCTGTCTGCTGATTTAATTAATGGCCTTTGAACAAGTGTTTACAGGTACTTGTATTTTTCACCAATTCACACGGTTCAACATCTGGTTTTACCAAATCTGTGTTTTTCTGCATTTATTGTTTAATTTTCAGAATCTTTTCAGTCAAACCAATTCTTTTTGTTCTACCGTTGGTTTCTGCCTGTTTTTATGGTTTCATCAGAAACAGGAATAATACTTTACATCTTCATAGACTTAGCTTTCCGTTTGTAAAGTCCATTCTTGTAACTATCAGCTAAACCCACTGAGTTGTGCCATTTTTGTTTCACAGTTGGACCTGTGACTTTGGAAAGCACTTTAACACCATGTTGTCCCAACTGTTTCGGTTCCACGGGCTGCTGGTGGCCTCCCACCCTTGGGAAGTGATAGTGGGGACCCTGGCTGTCACTGTCTGCCTCATGTCTATGAACAGCTTAGCAACCAGCAGCAACCAAATGTGCAGCTGGAACAACTGCCCCAAAGTTGAAGAGGTGACACCTATGTAAATAATGCACTTATAAGAAAGATAAAAGCTTTATTCATGTAACTGAGACAAGTCTGTTTACCTACAGGAAGTCCTCAGCAGTGACATAATCATCCTGACAGTCACTCGCTGCATGGCTATCATTTATATTTACTTCCAGTTCAAGAATCTCCTCCAGCTGGGATCCAAATATATTCTGGGTCAGTATGTTAATGTTTAGTGTCACCACTGTTGAGCTATTTATCATATATCCCTGCACTGTTAGGAGTAAACCACACACAGTATCCAGTTACTGTTTTGTCTTTTACCTTAACAAACCCTCAGTGTTTGATTATGTGTGGGACTAAAATTATTTTGTACAAAAGCAAATAGTGTGTTTTATTAATTTAAATTGAATGTTCTATTAATTTGCTGTTTTCTTCAGACGTGCAGCTCTTGGCCTCACATAAAATTAATAGTGTTCCTTTCCCTTCTCTCCACAGGTATTGCAGGGTTATTTACAGTGTTTTCCAGCTTCGTTTTCAGTTCAGTTGTCATTCATTTCTTTGGGAAAGAGCTAACAGGCCTTAAGTAAGTGCATTTTATACTATTAAATACATTCTACAGTGAGACTGTAAATCTGCTTTAAAGTATTTCAGGTCAGGGTGAGTGCACTCACCCTAAAGGGCCCAGCATACTCCATCTGAAGCGGAACTGTTGACTCGCGGTCAAGTGGTTGCAGGACGTTTGTTTTCACACACACTTTTCATAGTCCACGAGACGCAGAGCTGCAGAATATATCACCCCATGGGTATCTTCCTGCCAGAGTCTCCACTTTGTCCCTCCATCTTTCGTTTGGCCACAAGTCTATCGTGAAGAGAGCACCACACGTGTTACCAGACGGACTCCCCCAATGTGTTCATGATCTCCATCCAGGAGCTTTTGGCCATTTGACTAATTTAGTGTGTTTGAAGAGTCGTACAGCTGAATATCAGTCAGTCAGTATAACATTATTTTCCATAACATTGCATGAAATGGAGACTTGTCTTGGGCATCTGGCTCATACATACAAAGTAACACAAGTTAGAAGTACCATAGCATTTTCTAATAGCTTTGCTAACCCAATAAAAACATTTTAATATATGATCCATTACAACCATCACAGCAGACGATGGTTTGTCATGAGGGGCTACATTTAAATAGGACGCTCACAGCAGAGGGAACAACTGAACCAATTTTGTAGCCATTTTTCTTTATTACACGGACCATCAATCAGTCTTCTGCCAAATGGCAGCAGCTTGACTAATGGGTACAGTTGGGTCATTGTAAACCACTTCGTGGTCTTCGACTAACTAGCACAACTTCTGCCAGCACCCTGGTTGTCTACGGCACCGGTGGCGGTCGGTGTTAACCCGGACCTCGACTGGTCTGGTGTCACTTAGATAAACTCGCATTATAGTTTTGGCAAAAAAGTGTTTTACATCAGATGCCCTTCCTGACACAACCCTCACCATTTACCCGTGCTGGGGACCAGCACAAGAGATGCACTGGCTTGTGCTCCCTAGTGGTAGTTTTGTATATAGTCAATGTTTTTTAGATCAGTTTTTTGTCTTTATTGCAAAGGTCGCTGGTAACCAACAGTTTTAGTGGGCAACCAGATTCTATCAAGATGTTGTTTGCTGAACAACCTGGAAAATTTGTCCCCCCCCCCCCCCCCCCACACACACACACACACAGAGATCACTCTTCTACAAAACTAACCTGAGTAAGTCCCTCTATAGAAACCAATCAGTTTTTCAGATCACATTCATACACTGATGGGACACACATCAGAGACATTGAGGGTTCACTGTTGTGCCCCACTTTGACATGTGACTGTACTCAGCCAGGAATTGAACCTCCAACTCTCTCGTTGGAAGACGACCGCTCAAACCACTGAGCTACTGTCACCCCTTACAGCTTTCTGTATTAAATGTCTTGTATGTTTTTATGTAAATGTCTCGTGTTCATAATTTACATTTTAAGGAGTCATTGCTGAGCACAAGATGCTGAATCTTAAACTAACCCAGATGATGGAGTGTCTTCATTTTTTAATTAAGGGGTTCTTATTTTTTAAAGATGCAGCAAAGCATTACCTGCTGTTTCATTCTTTCTCCCACAGTGAAGCCCTGCCGTTCTTTCTCCTGCTTATTGACCTGTCCAAAGCATGCACATTGGCTAAATTTGCTCTCAGCTCAAACTCTCAGGTAGTTTGACTCACTTAATGTTTTTAATCTGTATATTTGAACTTGAACTTAATTCAGCTGGAGAATGTAGCTCTGCTGTCACTGACCAACCATGTTGTTTTGTGTACAGGAGGAAGTGAGGGAGAACATCTCTCAAGGCATGGCTATCCTCGGCCCTACATTTACCCTGGATGCTCTGGTTGAGTGTCTGGTTATAGGAGTTGGCACCATGTCAGGTAAACACAACGTTCTTTAGTCTGACAGAAGTTCACTGACATCATTAAAGTGCTTCAGTGCTGCCTAACAGATCCACTGTTCACACTGTTGTTTTCCTGTTTTTTATTTTGACATGCCTCTGCACACTATATTTAAATTATTAATATAGTGCATATGGAAAGTATTCACAGAGCGGTTTTCATCCATGATGTCTCTGATCGTCGCTGCATTCATCTCTGTCCTGACTAGTCTTCTAGTTCCTTCTACAGAAAAACATCCCCATAGCATGATGCTACCATCACCATGCTTCACTGCAGGGATGGTACTGACATGGTGATGAGCTGGTTTCCTCCAAACATGACACCTGTCATTCACACCAGAGTTCAATCTTTGTCTCATCAGACCAGAGAATTTAGTTTCTCCTGGTCTGAGAGTCCTCCAGACTGGCTGCCACGAGCCTTTTGTTAAGGAGGGGCTTTCATCCGGCCACTCCACCATACAGGCCTGATTGGTGGATGCTGCAGAGATGGTTGTCCTTCTGGAAGGTTCTCCTCTCTCCACAGAGGAACGCTGCAGCTCTGACAGAGTGAACATCAGGTTTATGGTCACCACCCTGTCTAAGGCCCTTCTCCATCGATTGCTCAGTTTAGACGACCAGCTGTAGGAAGAGTCCTGGTGGTTCCAAACTTCTTCCATTTAAAAATGATGGAGGCTGCTGAGCTCATTGGGACCTTCAAAGCAGCAGATGTTTTTCTGTATCCTTCCCCAGACACAGTCCTGTCTCTGAGGTCTACAGACAGTTCCTCTCACTTTCTCTTTGTTTTATGCTCTGACATGCCATGACACTGTCTGTGGACCAGTGTGCACCTCTCCACCTCCAGTTAGGCTGAAGAAACATCTCAAGGATGATCAGTGGAAACAGGATGCATCTGAGCTCAATTTGCAGCTTCGTATTCATCATAATTCTTATGTTCGTGTGATTTTGTAATTTTTTGTTTTGTTTTAATAAATTTGTGAACATTTCAAAACACCAACGTTCATGCTCAGTAATCCAGGTAAAAATCCAACAATGTTCAGTCAGGTCATCTGGATGGTTTCTTTTTTTTTTTTTCTGAGACGTTTCGTCTTTCATCCAAAGGACTTCTTCAATCTGAGGAGCCAGCAACCAAACAAACCGATTCACAAAAACAACACGAACTTTGGTGTTTTGAACCACTTAGGCATGACTGTCTCAGAGGAGTTGACGGGGGAGAGGGCGCCCCCTGGAGGCCATCTTAGCACCAGCAAACTTGTTTTTTCCCACGGTGGAGTATGCTGTTTCTGTGAATCAGTTTGGGTGCTGGCTGCTCAGATTGAAGAAGTCCTTTGGATGAAGGACGAAACGTCTCAGAAAAACAAAAAAAAGAAACCCTCCAGATGACCTGACTGAACATTGTTGCATTTCAAAATACTCTTTTTCATGTTGTCATTATGGGATGTTGTGTGCAGAATTTTGATGCAATGAATATATTCCATTTTGGAATAACACTGTAACTTAACAAAATGTGGACAAAGTGAAGCGCTGAATACTTGCTGGATGCTCTGTATATTAAATCATAGGCTCATTCTAGGGATGCGTACTTTTGTCTTTTAAATGTTTTCTCCATAAAAACACATTGTGAGCTCCTCAGTTCCTTTAAAACGTTTTTCTCTTTGAAGTCCGCTTCGCTCTGTTTTGGTTTCCTTATGTTACGATTAAATTTTAGATACTATTTCTGCAACTTTTAACTTTCAGTGAGATTTTTAGTTAATTTATTACTACTACTACTTTTAGTTAGCAGTATAATTGTCTGGCTTTGGTATTTCAGTTTTAACTTTATTAACGTTGCCGTTCAGCTCTCAGATGTCATGTTTTTGCAGTTGTGAGGAAAATGTAGAAAACGTTTCTCTCCTGTTTTTCAGGCGTTCCTCAGTTGGAGATCATGTGCTGTTTTGGCTGTATGTCTGTTCTGGCCAATTACTTTGTTTTCATGACGTTCTTCCCAGCATGCGTCTCCCTGGTCCTCGAGGTTAGAATGGTGCAAAACATCCTGAACAACTCATCTCTGGCAGGATGAATTAAAGTGTGTATGTTTGTTTACATGTCAATTTGTTTGTAGCTTTCAAGGGAAAGTCGTGAGGGCCGGCCAATCTGGCAGATGAACCACTTAGCCCATGTACTTGCAGAGGAGGAGGATAACAAGCCCAATCCTGTTACTCAAAGGGTTAAAATCATTATGGTGAGAGCTCTGATTTTTTAAAAACTGTTTTAGAAACATTCTTTTTGAATCTGTGGTTTAGGATAATTTATTTCCTTGTAAATTCAATGTGAACCCTAAAGAAAGTACTCAGTCCTTGAGGCTGTCCGTTCTGTTCCAGTCTCTTGGTTTGGCCTTGGTTCACGCCCACACCCGGCTTCTAGCTGAGCATTCAGGTCACAATCGCACAGCAGAGGGTCCCGTTCTAGAGAGGAGGAACTATGAAGGTTCTATGTGGCCTGTGAAGCTCAGCAGGTGAATTCAGACTAAAAGACTGGACCTTCATTTATGGACTCACATTCTCTGCTGGCAATGAGTGCATTTAGTTTGAAATATGAATAACATGGTCTGTCTCTGCCCAGCAGCATGGAGCTGGAACACGTGATAACCCTCAGTCTGGCCCTGCTCCTCGCTGTGAAGTACGTTTTCTTTGAACAAGCAGAGACAGAGTCCTCTCTGTCTCTCAGGAGTCCAATTAATGGCTCGACTCTGATCCAGAAGCCCAGGGGAGCAGAGGACTGCTGCAGGAGGAACCTTTCAGCCCTAAAACCCCAGAGGAGTGGAAGTAGTGTGGTGGCAACCAGCACTACGTCCTCACCTGGATCAGACCGTCAACTGTTCCCTGAGGTGGACTTGACCTGCAAAGGTGAGTGAGGCTCAGAAACGTTTTGTTCAGTCAAGTCAAATTTATTCATAAAGCACATTTAAAAACAGCAGCCGTTACCAAAGTACTTAACAATAAAAATCAATGGCAGTAATTTAAAGAAAAATAAAATAATTAATAGCATCAAAAGAAAAATACAAAACAATCTTGATCTCCTCTGAGCTTCAGCCTGATTTTTGGTACAACCTAAAGCAGCTGGTCAGATGATCTCGGCGCCCGAGAAGGAGCATAAGGTTGAAGTAGGTCAGAGAGCGATGAGGGTGCAGGACCATTAATGCACTTAAAGTTCAACAGGAGAATTTTAAAATCTATTATGATATGTACTGGGAGCCAGTGAAGGGAAGATAAAACTGGTGAAATGTGCTCAAACCTTCGAGTTCCAGTTAAGAACCGAGCTGCAGCATTTTGGATGATCGTGTGAAGTGAAAGGGACACCTGTCTGACCCCAACATAAAGCACGTTATGGTAATCATGTTGGGTGTAATGAAGGCATGGACTATTGTTTTCCAGTTCAGGTCTGGGCAACACGGACTTGAGCTTAACTCTGCGTTAACTGGAAGAAGCTTTTCTGTAGAACAGAGTTACTCTGTTTATTAAACTTAAAATCAGAGTCTAAAACCATCCTGAGATTTGTAACATTTGTAATTTGGTCTACCTCCAAAACGTTCTTCCTTTCTTTTCCTCCCTGTGGCAATCAAACTTTTCAACTCCTCCCCCATTTTACTCATAGGATGATAAAACTGTGTCCTGCACTATAGGGCTGCAACTAACGATTATTTTAATAATCGATTAATCGGCCAATTACATTTTTCGATTAATGGGGGGGGGGTTAATTTCCACCCCTTTATTCCAAAATTGAACATTTGACTGACATAGCAATTCACACAAAAAACAGGTTGCTATTTGACTATTCTGTTAGTAAAATATTGAATAATAAAAAAATAAAAGTTAGTCAAATAGCTTAAAAAAATAAATGTACACAAAAATATATACAAATGTGTCTTTATACCTGCACAATATGTAGCTACTTTGTAAAATGTGTCCTTGAGGGATTATTGTAACCTGGATTAAAAGTGTGGATTATTGTAACCTGGATTAAAAGTGTGGATTATTGTAACCTGGATTAAAAGTGTGGATCATTGTAGTGAATCCTTCGTCTTCAACCATCGACAGAGTCCTCATGTCAATGTGTTAAATTGTAGAGAGTCACCTGCAACACATGAAGAGTTGTATCAGCTGTTCAGCTCCTTCCTCCTCCTCGTGACTCCGACATGTTTACATTTCATCTCCGTGGTTCTCCCGTGTCGTGTCGTCACTTTTTCAAAGCTGCATGTTGCGCAGTTTTTATCTTTGTGAAGAGCTCCCACACTTTGGAGGACTTGGGTCGAACAGTTTTCGCTGCGTCGGTCATTTGTAAAATGTACTTAATTTCTTTTGAAAACAGCCTCTTCTCTGCTTCCTCCTCCCCCCTCGCTCTGTTCAAGTCGCGCTGCAGAGTTTTTTTTTTTTCAAACTTTATTCAGTCAGCCAGCATTGACAATGAACTGCAGGTGAACAAAACAAAACGGCTCCGCAGCGCCGTGAAAGATGCTTAGTCGCTCGACACAACGAATCGATAATGAAATTCGTTGCCACCTCTTTATTCATCGATTTTTATTGATTTTATCGATTCGTTGTTGTAGCCCTACTGCACTACAATAAACACTTTAATGCTTCTGTCTGCACCTGACCTGTTTTGGACCTTAATTGTTGGCATTTTTATACCACTCTGTTATTTTTAAATCTTGTGTGATTCCTTGTGTATGTTCCTTTGTATTGAAACCCTGGCACAACAATTTCATGACCTGCGGAATCAATAAAGTTCTTATCCATGGATCTGGGGCAGCTGTGGCCGAGTGGTTAGAGCAGTCGTCCTCCAATACAAGAGTTGGGGGTTCGAATCCACCAGCAGTCACATGTCAAATTGCCCTGGGCAAGACACTGAACCCCTCGTTGCCTCTGATGTGTGTCCCATCAGTGTTTGAATGTGATGAAGCACTGATTAGCCTCTTTAGAATGATTTGTTCAATTAGCTTTGTAGAGATCTAGTATAGAGCTGTATGAATGGGTAAATGAGGCACAGATTGTTGTGTAAAGCGCTTTGAGTATCTCGATAAGATAGAAAGGCGCTGTATAAGTACAGTCCATTTACCATAAGTCCTGGATATCCTGAGTCAGGAGCTTAGGGGTTGGTTTTTCCGTAACCATGGCCGAGGTAGTGAAAAACTCTGGGGGCTGATGAGTCACCCTGATTTCCTTAAGGCTCTGGATGTTGTGGGGCTGTCGTAGTTGACATGCCTTTGTAACGTTGCATGGACATCGGGGGCAGTGCCACTGGACTGGGAGACTGGGGTGGTGGTTCCCCTCTTCAAAAAAGAGAGGGTGTGCTCCAGTTATAGGGGCATCTCTCGCCATAGCCATAGAATAGTAAGGTCCATTACGGAGAAGTGAGTCCCATCATTGGTTGAACCTCAGCTAAAGGAGGAACAATGTGGGTTCCGTCCTAGCTGTGGAACACTGGACCAGCTCTTTCCCTCACTAGGGTCCTTGAGGAGTCATGGGAGTTTGCCCATCCAGTTTACATGTGTTTTGTGGACGAGAAGGCATTCGACCGTGTTCCTTGGGGTACACTGTGGGGGGCGGGGGGAGTCCTCCTAGAAGATCTGGAAGAGGTTCTGTGGAAAGAGATGTCTGGGCCTTCCTGATCAAGTTGCTGCCCCGAGACCCGACGTTAGAATAAGTGGAAGATGATGAATGGATGGATAATGGATGGATGGATGGATGGATGGATGATGGATGGATATACAGTAGTATAATAGATAGATATGATGTTTGTTGTTTTGTGCATTCTTAAAATAATTTTATGGTTAAACAAAGCATTGTGTGCTTTATTTCTAACTTAAAAAACACAGATTTGCACCGTTTCTTTTTAAATAAATAAAACTTCGTCTGTGTTCTTTGTTTAAAACAGGTCTCTCTTGTGAATGAGTCCTCGAGGCTCAATGAGACTAAAGCCCCAGTATACTCCCGCGTACATCCATACGCAGAGGTACGCACGTACGTACGTACACGGAGGTACGTGCGTACCCCCCAGGGCATGTCCGTGCAAAGCTCAAATTTTTACGAATTTTTGCGTACGCGGTGTCGCACAATAAACTGCCCGGCGACGGACTGTTTTGTATGCGACACCAATGTATTAAATTCCCCTTCTTCATCCCTGATCTGGCCTTTTGTTTTGTTGCCAAGAGGCAGTGATCTCTTCCTCCTCCGTTGATGCCATGACTGAAATGGTGAGAAATGAAGGAATTTGTCACGAGCAAATTAAACGCAGGTCCAGCGTGGCTGCGGGAGGGTCTGGAGATTTCCTGGTGGGCTGGTCTGATGTGTGGGCTGTAGAGCCAGCGCTCTTGTTTTTTTTTGTTTTTTTTAGATCTTTTTATTGACAACATAAACACAGAACACCGCTGTGGCTGAGGCTGCCAGTGCTCGCTTTTTTTTCTTTTTTTCCAACCTGTCAATCAATCCAGTAGGCGTGTCAGCAAATGACCAGTCGGCGACCTCAATTTGTCCCGAAGGTAAACGGCCCTTGTCTGTGACGCTGCTCTGCAGCTGCTCGGGGTGCACGCTGGAGTATCATGTCTGAACCCTCTGCGTACAGTACACGCGTACGTACACGTGAACGGACATACGCGGCAGTGTACTGGGGGCTTAACCTGTATAAGTAAAGGTTGAATGAATCGTAGCTTTAGTTCCACCTGTTACATGTTCTGACCTGGAGAGGGAAGAAAAACATTGAGCGACGTCACGCCCTGAGAACTACTAAGCTATAAATAATTTAGATACATTGGATATTGTTGTAATTGTAACTGAGAGTCATCCACAACAGGTACTTTAGACACTAGAGATGCAACGTGTCATATGAGGCGTTGCATAAAGTTAGTTTTGACCAGAATGGCTGTAACTTTGTCATTTAACACATCTTGGTGATTGTGATCACAATGATCTCAAACTTTCATTGAATTTGGTGGACCATATCATTAATACACGTTCCTTCACAGAATGCCAGGACTTTAACTTAAAAAAGTTTCATTGGTTGTCTCTGTGTAGAAACCTCGGGTACAAAAGTGGTCCGGCCAGCCCCGGTGAAAACCTGTGTTTGTGAGGAGTCCACTGCTCAGACCAGTCAGAGGTCGGAGCCTCGATCTCTGGAGGAATGTATGGCCATCCTGTCTGATCCTCAGGTGATTCAGCACAGCAGCTTGAAAACAAACGTCTGCTTTGATGCGTTTGTGTCCTGTTTTATAAAACGGTTGGTGTGTGATGTTTTTCAGAGGGGTCCTCAGAAGCTTAGCGATGTAGAAGTGATGAACCTGGTGACTTCATGTAAGATCCTGAACTACAAGCTAGAAGCAGTCCTGGAGAGTCCGGAGAGGGGCGTGGCTATCAGGAGAGAGATGTTGTCGCTCAAACTGCCTGTTACGTCTGCGCTGGCTTCACTACCGTATAAAGGCTACGACTATTCAAAGGTACTGGCATCAGGCCCATCTGTGAACTTTTCTAGCTTTTTGTTTAAAAAGTGTATTTTTCCCGTCACATTTTAACACAGTGGTGCAAGTGGTTCTATTTTCTTGTTGCAGCTGCTGCAGCGTGTGCATCATTTTATGTCCTTGACCTGCAGGTGATGGGTGCGTGCTGTGAGAACGTCATTGGCTACATGCCGGTGCCCGTGGGGGTGGCAGGCCCTCTTCTGTTGGACAACAAGCAGTTTTACGTCCCGCTGGCCACCACAGAAGGTTGCCTGGTAGCCAGCACTAACAGAGGATGCAGGGCGCTTTCTGTAAGTGACACTGTCGTGTCCGGACTCCTGGTGTTCGTACGTGCTTTGTGTTGACTGTGTTGTTCTTCCCCTTCAGCTGAGTGGGGGCTGCAGCAGCAGGATCCTCGCTGACAGGATGACCAGGGGTCCTGTGGTGAGGCTGCCCTCAGCGTGCCGAGCTGCAGAAGTCAAACTCTGGCTTGAGACCTCGGAAGGATATGACTTGATGAAAGAGACCTTTGACCAGACCAGCAGGTCAGCAGGAGGACTGTAACACAAATAAAACTAGAATCAGATTAATGAAAAGCTTTTTCACTATTTTCACTTTGTAGGTTTGCTCGTCTGGAGAAGCTGCTGGTGTGTGTAGCAGGGAGGAACATCTACATCCGCTTCCAGTCTCAGACGGGGGACGCCATGGGCATGAACATGCTCTCTAAGGTGTGACCAAAGCTTCCAGCTGCCAGGGGTTTCTGCAGCTGTGGGACGTGTCAGTGTGTTGAGATGTAACAAGGTTACTGGTTGAGTTGAAGCACTTGGAGGTTGCAGTTCCCAGCACGGTCCTGTCCGTCAGGCTGTGCTGGGGGAGCAGCCTCTGCAGGTGTGTCCTGAGAGTCGGCCTGTCACACACCTCACGGGTCAAACGACTACATGTTTTAAAAGTCGATCTTGACTAGTCGATGATGTCATAGGAACTCAGACGCTATATCATATTTGCAAAAACAATAAAAAATTAGTAAAAAAAAAAAAAGAAAAGTCATTTATTATTTACAATGAAACAAAAAGACCAACAAAACGTGGGGTGTATATTTACGCTCTTACCATTTATCAAACTGCAAATAAGTCACAGGAAAACCAAAACTATCATTAAGCTGCTCTTAGCCTTATTTTATTTAATCCACCACCGTGGATTGGGTGGAATGGAACTGGGGGGGGGGCACCTTCTTGTAATATTATAGTTATTTTAGTTATCAGCGGTGGTCGGCCGTGCACGTCTGCTGACGCAGAGGCTGAAAGCTTCAGGTGTGTCTGGCAGGGATCCATCTGGACTTCTTTGTACGTCTTTTAACCGGCCGGTGTCAGAGCAGCTGGTGGTGATCCAAACTGGATCATCAGCCGCGCGCGGCCCCAATCCAGCACATTATTTGGCTCGGGCTGAGCCATGTTAGAAATGACAGCTCTACCGCCCCGCTGTTTTTAATTTTATTTAATTTAATCCACCACGTGGACTGGGTGGAATAGGGCTGGGAACAGTGGGGAGGCTGCGACTGGTCGATGTGAAGTATCAAAACTCACAAGATGTTCTAGAATTGACTAGTCTGTTGAACCTGTCACACCTGAGCAGAGTTCATGTGGTCATTAGTTCAATTTGTTGATGAGAAAATGCTTTTGACCCGCTCATGTTTCCATCATATTATCTCTATTTTATGTTTGTGTATATTTCAGGAGAAACGTTCAAAGCTGTTTGATGGTCTGTGCTGAAATGTTTCAGTAGAGACTAGTGACAAGATGAAGGAAAGGAAAACTTTTCTGTTTATTTATATTTTTTCATTCAACAATCGGTTTGTTCTGGCTGACAAAAACAATTTTTGGTTTAGTCTCCTTCTGAAAACAAACAAGACCTCTCTAGTTAAAGCTAGAAGGTCTTGTGTAGATGAAGGTCTGAAGAGACTCGGGAGGAAGATGCCACGACTCCATGAGAGCCTATTAAAATGAATTTTCCTGCACATCCTTGAAGTTTTCCTAAACTTATCGTTCAAAACTCGCCCCGTCCTGCTCGGGTGTGTCCGGTGTCTCACCTGGTGTTTGTATGTTGTCTTCTGCAGGGGACGGAGCAGGCTCTGCACAGACTCCAGCTGCAGTTTCCAGACTTGGAGGTGCTGTCGCTCAGTGGTAACTACTGCACTGACAAGAAGGCCGCTACAGTCAACTGGATTTTGGGCCGAGGGAAGTCGGCTGTGTGTGAGGCCACGGTTTCTGGGAGGGTGGTGAAGGAGGTAAAGACGTTCAACTGTGTTGCAGCTAAATCCAACAAATAGATTCAAAATGACTTTCTGCTGCTGAGCCTTCTCATGGTGGTGCAGGTGCTGAAGAGCAGCACGGCCGCCCTGGTGGATCTGAACATCAGTAAGAACCTGGTGGGCTCAGCTATGGCTGGCAGTGTCGGAGGCTTCAACGCTCACGCTGCAAACATCGTGGCAGCCATCTTCATAGCGTGTGGGCAGGTAAACACTACACCTCACCTTCTGTTCATCAGTGGGTGGAGAAACTAGTCCAGTCCAGGAAGCAGCTCTCACGTCTCTTGAGTTGTTGCAACATCTCAAAATACAAGTTTTTAAAACGTGTAAGAAACAGAAATGTATCTGAGCGCTGTAGAAGAACAACACGTGACACAAGAACACGATGGTTTTATAAACCTGGAGCGATTCTTACAAGCACGAGTGAGTTAGGATTTATCCGAGGGGGTTTGGGTTTGGAGGCACTTGAGTGGCGACCAGAACCTGAAGGACATAAAGAGCCCAAGTGAGCCGTTTGTAAAGAATACCAGCAGCTCAAACAGAATAAAAATCAGTCCTGGAACCGTATCTTTGTATCTTCATTAAATGAAAGGTTTTTGCAGTTTTTAAAGTCCTGATCAGTATCGTTTTTTTGGCCTTTAGGTCACAGTTTTTTTGCATAATTTACATGCAAGTCAAACTGTGACTTAAAGGCCGAAGCCACGTATTTATGGATTTTTTTCCCATATTTATAAACCAATTTTTTGGCTGAGATATGACAGTTTTCATTCATTCTGACTGAAAAAAAAATGAACAGTACCATTTTCATCCACTAGATCGTAGCAGAGTTTTAAGGCATGCCGTTGTATCATGTAATAGGTACAGTGCCTTGTGAAAGTATTCGGCCCCCTTGAACTTTTCAACCTTTTGCCACATTTCAGGCTTCAAACATAAAGATATAAAATTTTAATTTTATCTGAAGAATCAACAAGTGGGACAAAATCATGAAGTGGAATGAAATGTATTGTATGTGTCAAACTTTTTTAACAAGTAAAAAACTTAAAAGTGGGGCGTGCAATATTATTGGGCCCCTTTACTTTCAGTGCAGCAAACTCACTCCAGAAGTTCAGTGAGGATCTATGAATGATCCAATGTTGTCCCAAATGACTGATGATGATAAATAGAATCCACCTGTGTGTAATCAAGTCTCTGTATAAATGCACCTGCTCTGTGATAGTCTCAGGGTTCTGTTCAAAGCGCAGAGAGCATCATGAAGACCAAGGAACACACCAGACAGGTCCGAGATTCTGTTGTGGAGAAGTTTAAAGCTGGATTTGGATACAAAAATATTTCCCAAGCTTTAAACATCCCAAGGAGCACTGTGCAAGCAATCATATTGAAATGGAAGGAGTATCAGACCACTGCAAATCTACCAAGACCCGGCCGTCCCTCTAAGCTTTCATCTGGAACAAGGAGAAGACTGATCAGAGATGCAGCCAAGAGGTCCATGATCACTCTGGATGAACTGCAGAGATCTACAGCTGAGGTGGGAGAGTCTGTCCATAGGACAACAATCAGTCGTACACTGCACAAATCTGGCCTTTATGGAAGAGTGGCAAGAAGAAAGACATTTCTCAAAGATCTCCATAAAAAGTGTTGTTTAAAGTTTGACACAAGCACCTGGGAGACACACCAAACGTAGAAGAAGGTGCTCTGGTCACATGAAACCAAAATTGAACTGTTTGGCCACAATGCAAAACGATATGTTTGGCGTAAAAGCAACACAGCTCATCACCCTGAACACATCATCCCCACTGTCAAACATGGTGGTGGCAGCATCAGGACATTATAATAAAAAAAACCCCCACTAATATTCAGTGGCTTTCAACACCAGATGATCTGTGTTTTGAACCTGTATGTTCCACACTGGTTAGTCGTCATTATCTGCATCGTTTTTATATCTATATTTCTGATTTACTTCATTTTGTATTTTGTTTTGTCTGTTGTTCTGTCTGTACAGCACTTTGGTTGGCTTTGTCGCTGTTTTAAGTGCTTTATAAATCAAATGGTACGGTATAGCATCATGGTTTGGGCCTGCTTTTCATCAGCAGGGACAGGGAAGATGGTCAGAATTGATGGGAAGATGGATGGGACCAAATACAGGACCATTCTGGAAGAAAACCTGTTTGAGTCTGCAAGAGACCTGAGACTGGGACGGTTATCTTCCAACAAGACAATGATCCAAAACATAAAGACAAATCTACAATGGAATGGTTCACAAATAAACGTATCCAGGTGTTGGAATGGCCAAGTCAAAGTCCAGACCTGAATCCAATCAAGAATCTGTGGAAAGAGCTGAAGACTGCTGTTCACAAACGCTCTCCATCCAACCTCACTGAGCTCGAGCTGTTTTGCAAAGAAGAATGGGCAAGAATTTCAGTGTCTCCATGTTCAAAACTGATAGAGACACAAGAGACTTGCAGCTGGAACTGCAGTAAAAGGCGGCGCTACAAAGTATTAACACAAGGGGGGCGAATAATATTGCACACCCCACTTTTCAGTTTTTTATTTGTTAAAAAAGTTTGACACATCCAATAAATTTCATTCCACTTCACGATTGTGTCCCACTTGTTGATTCTTCACAAAAAATTAAATTTTATATCTTTATGTTTGAAGCCTGAAATGTGGCAAAAGGTTGAAAAGTTCAAGAGGGACGAATACTTTCACAAGGCACTGTACATGAGGCTATAATGACAAATTCAAAAAAGTTCAAGACGAAAACAACTGGACTTTATTTATTATACTTTATACTTTATTGTTTTTGTCTTGAACTTTTTTAAATTTACCATGTCCTGGATGACTGAGAATCTTCACCAGCTATTAATGACACAATCGGCTTGTCATAGAACCCCACGTTCGTTCTGCTCGCTGCTCGAAGCAAGTTAAATCAGCTGCACCGCCCCGGCGAAATGCAGCTGATTTGACAATTAAAATGCATTTATTAAGTAAAAGTTCAACTGAGTCACAGCCTTACTATAATTTCGAGCAAACAAATAATGTTTAGATGCTTTTCTGGTTAAATTTCGAAGAAACGAGCTGCGTTCCTCCTCCTTTTTTCCCCTCTCTGTCTGCACGCTCCCGGAGCACCGAGGCAGCGAATACTTTTGAAATACAGCTGATTTGACCATTAAAGTCCTTTTATTAATCAAACGTTAGGCTGAGACACCTTTACTATAGGATCGAACAAACAAATAATTGTTTTTAGGTGGTTATCTTGTTAAATTTTGAAGATATGAACAGCAGCTCGTCCCTCTGCGTGTGCACGCTTCCTTGAATTGGGTTTTCAAATGCAGCAGATTTGACCGTCAAAGTGTATTTATTAAGAAAAAGTTAGACTGAGACACATCTTTATTATAATGTCAAGCAAATAATTGTTTTAAAGTGTTAATCTTGTTAAATTCTTGTTAAAGTCCTCCCGTGCACGCTCATGATAGCCAGTCGATTTTTGGCAAAACACTGGCCCACATTTCTGGGTTGTCAGCGTTGACGTGTAACAAACGCGATGCATCAGCGGTGATGGCATAATAGATGCGACGTATAATCGATGCGACGTATAATATATGCGACGTATAATAGATGCGACGTATAATAGATGCGACGTTTAATAGATGCGACGTATAATAGATGCGACGTATAATGGATGCGACGTATAATGGATGCGACGTATAATGGATGCGACGTATAATAGATGCGACGTATAATAGATGCGACGTATAATGGATGCGACGTATAATGGATGCGACGTATAATAGACGCGACGTATAATAGATGCGACGTATAATAGATGCGACGTATATGGTGAAGCAACATATTTATACTGTACCATTTTATTTATAGAGCACTTAAAACAGCTACAAGGCTAACCAAAGTGCTGTACAGACAGAACAACAGGTAACACACAAAGCAATATGCAAAATGAGGTAAATCAGAATAAAGACATAAAAACGATGCAGATAATAAATATGACGACAAACCAGTGTGGAGCATACAGGATCAAAACACAGATCCTCTGCTGTTGAAAGCTACTTAATAGTAGTGAGTTTTTAAACGGGATTTGAAAACCGAGAGGGAGGGGGCCAGTCTGACAAGCAGAGGTAACTCGTTCCAAAGTCTTAGTCCTGCTACAGAGAAGGCCCTGTCACCTCTGCGCTTAAGACGAGTTCCTGGAACTGTGAGGAGCAACTGGTCCACTGACCTCAGGGAACATGGTGGGTTGTATCAGATCAGAGAGATGGGGGGTGGGGGGTGGGGGGGGACGAAACTGTTCAGTGATTTGTAGACATACAGGAGTGTTTTGAACTGGATTTGGAGGCCAAAACTGGTGTAATGTGCTCTCTTTTGCCTGTACTGGTTAAAAATTGGGCTGCTGCATTCTGGACCAGTTGTAGTCGTGTAATGGAGGTCTGACTGATACAAAACAGGAGTGGATTGCAGTAATCAAGCCTAGATGTAATGAATGCATGTATTACTGTCTCCAGGTTCTTTTTGGACAATATGGGCTTCAGTTTAGACAGATGCCTCAGTTGGAAGAAGCAGGATTTAACGATCATGTTTACATGATTGTTAAGTTTCAGGGAAGGGTCCATTATCACTCCCAGATTATGATTGATGGATTTTTCCACTTTATTAGTCATATTTGAACTGATGGTAATAAACTCAACTGTCCTGGCTTCAGTCTGAGGAGAGTAACCGTGTTTATTTGGGAACTATTACATTTAGTGATTGTTATAAAATGCTAACAGAACTTTGGTGACCTTTGTCATCCTCCTCATTAGTCCGCCCCGCCCTGCCCCGCCCCGCCCTGCCCCGCCCTGCCCTGCCCCGCCCTGCCCTGCCCCGCCCCAGGCAGGTGTGTTACAGTAACGCCTTCAGTCGTTCGTGAACTTTCTCTTGTTCCGTCCAGAACTGGTGACCCACTCAACCTCATTTAATGAAGCTTCAGACACGCATGCAGTAGGTGGAGTGTCACATACACTTTTATCACCCCAGCTCCAAGGTCAAGGTCACAAATCAAGGTCAAAGTTCAAACAAGGTCTTTGTTTGTTGGCTGTCTTGCTGTGTAACAGTTTGTGCACTAAGTGCCGTTCACGGTAATCTTGTTCTGGTTTTGTTGTTCAGGATCCGGCTCAGACGGTGGGAAGCTCCAGCTGCATCACTCAGATGGAGTGTACTGGTCCAAACAAGGAGGACTTGTACATCAGCTGTACAATGCCCTCTATTGAGCTGGGGACAGTGGGAGGAGGAACCAATCTGCCCCCCCAGCAGGCCTGCCTGCAGGTATCCCTCCTGGACCTCATTTATTGACTTTATTAAGAGCAATAACTCATCCAAGTGATCCTAATGTATTTTTATGGGAACCGTTATTTTAAACGAAGTCTAAAAGTAGCAGAGAACCAGTCCGAGCACTGGGTTGAGCCGAATGTTTGAACATGAAAGGGTAAATGTCTCGTAGCTGAAACATGTCCCATAAAACCTGACTGCTGACTCAGCATTTCTACAACACACCAGGTGAATATTTCCAGGTCAATGAGAGGGACGTTAGCTCAGACTGATGGAAGACTTCCTCATGGCTCCTCCTCCTTCACACTAAACCTGGACCATGTCCCTGTCCTTGTGTCTTCAGATGCTCGGGGTCACAAGTCCCAAACAGCCCGGTGAGAACGCCCGCCAGCTGGCCCGTGTGGTTTGTGCTACGGTCCTGGCAGGAGAACTGTCTCTGATGGCCGCCCTGGCTGCTGGAGACCTCGTCAAGAGTCACATGACCCACAACAGGTCGGCTGGGGTTCAATTTGTCTTAGTAACATTTAAAAACTGTCCTGTTTCCCAGTTCTGACTGTTTTCTGTGTGTAGATCCAAAACCAACCTTCCAGAGATGGTCCTTTCACCGTCCACTACGACTGCATGACTGAAACACTGAGGTCCAGCTGCTGCGGTTCTGACCACAGCGCAGTGACCCGAGGACGTCCACACGCTGAGCTGTTACTATTCTGTGCCATTTGTTTGGAGCCCAGCAGAATCCATGATGGTTCTGGTCCTCGGTTAGCCGGAACAAGAACCTGGTCCGGTTTTCTCAACAAGCTTGTTCAGAGCCAGCGTTGTTTCTTTAACCTGGGACGTCTTCAGACAGACGCTTTGTCCATTTGGACTCCACATGTTGACTTTTGTGTTTGCCAAAAACCTGTTTGAGACAAAGTCCTTGTCTTTCCTGGGAATCTTCCTCGTGTTGTCTGACCAGCTGGAAAACAACAGTGTTTGTGTTTAGTCCCTACCATGAAGTCTCTGTGTCCACTCCTTCAGTTCCAGCTTCAGGTCTGTCTCCAGGACCCATGTCCATCTAACGTGGACTCTTTGTCCCCTCATGTCCAAACGTCTGCAGATCCTTCAGTTTTGGACGGTTCTGCTCGTCTTTAAATCAGACCTGAGGTTCTCAGTTGGCCTGTTGTCTGGACCTTCACCTGGTTCTCCTTACCCCAGTGGAGCGGTCTTTACGGTGTTCAGCAGGTTTGCTGTAGCAGCTTCATCTTTGTTTCCTAACGATGGACTTCATGAAACTCTGAGGGGCGTTTCAGAACTCTGACCTGTGTGGAGAGTTCCTTGGTCTTCATGATGCCTCCTGCTTGGCGGCAGCCTGCAGTGCTTGGAGGTGTTGATTCTGGGGGCTCTCAGAAGAGGTGGATCTATAAACTGGAGCTGGTTAAACTCATTCTGTGGCTTCAGGAGGAGATGGTTCAGACCACATGGCTGAAGACTTATGCACACACCACTCTTCACTTTTATACATTTTAAATGTTTGAAAACGAGCTATCTACATTTGACTTGTATATGAATTATTTTAGTAGAATTTAAAATAAATTCCAGTTTGTAAGAAAAATAAATGAAGGGGGGGGGTGGGGTGGGGTGGGGTGAATACTTCTGCACGGCGCTGATTAAACTCCAAACACTTGAATGTTCATGTTTCCCTCTGTCAGGGCTCCTGTATCCTACCCCCCCCCCCCCCCCATGTTGGTTCAGATTTGGATCAAGTTCTGCAGTTTTCTATGTGGAGTCATGAAGAACAAAGTTCTCTTTCTCTTCAGTTAATATATTTCATCAGGACAATGTGCAGATTTAAGGAGGTTGAAGAGTGGCTTCAAAATGACTCAGATTGAAGTGGCCTTACGTCCAGTCAGTGTGGAGCTTTAGGTTTTATTTATGATTCAATGAGCTGAAATAAATGTACTATTTAAAGAAGTAAACACAACCTTCTTACTTGTTGATGTCTTTTTGTGACAAACAGAGAAACCTGGAAAATGAACTCAATCCCTCTGAGATGTCGAGACTAGGGGTGCACCGATTTCTAAAAAGTCTGACCTGCCCATACAGATTTAGTTTTATAAGCTCACAATGCAGCTTCAATTTTCCAATATTGAAAAACACCCTTGAACAATATCCTAGAAACAATACAAATTTGTTTTAACTGACCATGAGGTAGTGCTCTGAAATTTATTTTATTTTATTTAGCCTTTATTTATACAGGTTAGTCTCATTGAGCCACGAGAACTCATTTTCAAGAGAGACCTGTTTTTAGGGAGCACATGGTGGGGGTTAAGGGCCTTGCTCATGGGCCCAGAGTGGGGCGAATGAGGGTGAGGGCAAGTGTGGGTGTTTCACCTACCCCACCCACAATTTTGATGTTGTCGGGGCCGGGGCGTGAACCGGCGATCTTCGGATCACAAGCCCACCTCTCTAACCTCTGCGCCACCACTCCCACAAATATAAAATATAAATGAAGTTCAATTTTTGTTCAAACTAAAAAAAAATCTGTAAAATCGGTTTCTCATGGAAGAATCGGACGATTTCCCAAAACTTAAGAAATCGTGGCAATAAATCACAGATTTATCTCTGCATCCCCGTCGAGACCAGAGCTCATCGTTAGTTTCTAATCTGTTTTAAATCTGGCATCTTTATCATCGAGCTTCATGTCTTGATGTGAAGGTGTGATGGCAGAGAAAACATCTGCAGCAGCTGGAAAAGTTTCACCCCGTTGGGTGTTTCAGGCTCTGCTGCTGTCAGAAAACTAATTATAGAGTAGGTGCAACACTTCATGAAAACTTCATAAAATACAGGCTAATATTTAATAAACCATAAAGAAAAGTATGCAATGTAAAAAATGTGATTGCAACCCCCCCAGTAAGTTTACCAGCTGAGGGTGAGTACTTTTCCAGGCACTGTTTCAACTCATGTGGAGCACAACACGATCGTCCTGTAGAAATAACGATTCTTAATGAAACGATGCGTCTGAAGAAGTTTAATGAACCAGCAGATCAACACAGAGGTAACAAAAATACTGTCCCGAGTGTCCACTGGGAGGTCGTCAGGACCCGTTTGAACTCAACTGGATCCAGACTCGATGAAAGTGAGCCGAACTGAACACGTTCGTTTGTTCAGTAAAAAGATTTACTCGGGATCAAACCGCCCTGAGGCACTCCACGTGTGGTTTCAAAGGTGCAGTAACAGAATCTTTGACCTCGTCTGAATCTTCGTGTTTTCCTAACACTAAGGCACCAGGGCTCAACTAAAATAATCTGCACCGTGTCCACGGCAGACGATCTGGTTCCTCCATCAGCTCATTAGAGGTGCCGTCATTAGAGGAACGTCCTTCAGTCTCAGCGCCCTCTGGACCCGACTCCAAACATTTCAACAGAAAAGCAGGAAACTTCACCCTGCAAAGCTTTTCATGAAATATTTGACAAAAACAGCTAAGATTTGTATTTGTACAAACATTTTACAGACCATAAATATCTTTAAATATGAGCTCTGGACGCAGGATGTTCCCCCACAGCTGGGTTCATTCCTCGCTGGTCTTCGAGTCAGACACTAATGACCCGTCTGAAACACTCCAGTTAGTATTTTATCAAAGTCACAGTTAAACAGAAGCTGAAACGATGAACCTGGACGACGGCCATGTTTCAGTCACATGAATTTTCATTCAGTCTTCCTCCTAACTGGAGCAGGTCGCTGTACGTGTTGGAGGATAAATCACTTTGTTGGTTTTCTGACGTCACTCCAACATGTTCAGCCTTCATGTGACAGCTCAAGGATTTGATGGTTTCTTTGGCTCCAGACTGACGGGACTCTGTTGCAGAGCAGGTCTGTGCCGACGTCTCGGTCCTGAGAAGAAAACAAACCTCATGTTGCATCAAACAAAACAGGAGGAAATAAAATGTCTAGTCTCTGAAACAGACAGTGGAGCGGCCATCTTGCTGGGTGCTACGCCTCACAAACATCCTGCACGTCCTAATAATGTGAACACAGTAAAGGAGGACGCTGTAATGAGCCCCCACCCAGCACCTTTTCTACTGGACCTCACTGAACATCATAGATTCCTGTCATTAGCAACAACCGTGCTGTGGTTGGCCGTCCGTCCGTCCATCCAGCCATCTTATTTACATCCTTTTGTTATGCAGGCTTGTGGGGGAGCTGGTGCTGATCGAGGGGTGGGGGACACCCTGGACAGGTCTCCAGTCCATCAGAGGGACACAGAGACATGAGACAAACACCTGACATCTCTGTGGTCCCAGTATCTCACCTGTGAGCCTCAGAATAAGATGGGTCTGCCAGCAGTTTTTTCTTGCACATAGGAGGTGAAGCGCTTGAGGAACTTTGGGTACTCCCTCTTTGCTACTGCTCTGAGCACGGAGGCAGGAGCCCAGCCTCCTGGATTCACTGGACAAACACAAGAAACCCAGTTTACAGAGTGGTAACTCCTGTTAATACGCGGGTCATTGCTTTTTATTTCTGACAACCTTACACAACCAAACTCATGACAGTCATCTCATTATGGCTGAAGTTTAAAACAATTAGAGTAGGTGCAACGTTTAATGAAAACGTTTAATAAAATACAGGCTGATATTTAATTAAAAAGACGTTTTGTCGTATTAGCCTAGCTTGAGACGTGGTGGGAGGCTATGAACCAAAACAAGACTGTAGGAAAGGAAAGTGTCTGTTTATATTTTCTACAGGTTCATCCATCCATCATCTTCACCTACTTCTTCCTTTCTGGAAGAGGTGGATCACTGGTGTCACTGGTGCTCATGTCCTGTGCAACATGTCTCCAGTCCATCACAGGGACACACAGAGACAACCATTCACTCTCTCACTCACATCTAGGGACAATTTAGAGTTACCAATCAGCCTAACATGCATGTTTTTGGTCTGTGGGAGGAAACCCACACATGCACAGAGAGATCATGCAAACTGCACCCAGAAAGACCCGCGGCTTGGATTTGATCTGGCAACCTTCTTACTAAGAGGCGGCAGCTCTACCTACTGAGCCACCATGCCGCCCTTCTACAGACTCATCTTTATGGAAATCTGAACTAAAAAAATTGAACATGAACTTTGTTTAATTGCAATGATCAGCAGTGAGTAGGTTTCCTGCTGATCAAGAGCCTCTTGTGCTTGTCTGAATTTCTTAAAGAAACGTGGCGTACGCTGAAATCAAAAAAATGGTGCAAGTGGAAAAAAAACTCCAGCATGTTTTCTTTGTACATTTTGATCAGGGAGGGACTACTCACACACGAGACCCCTCCATTTCCATTTCTAAACAAACAGATGTAACTGCGCCTAAATGAGTCAGTGGAGCATCAAACCTGGCTGTGTGGGACGATGTTTATGGAGCAGTCAGGTTTAAAGTGCACCACCAGATAAAGCTCCATGTTCATCTTTGTTCTGCTGCTATAGACTGCTGGAGGACAAACTGACCACAGCTCCTCTCTGCTGCTGTCTTTACTTGCTCTACATGTTTGTAATTATTTCTATCTCAACATGTTTTTTGTCTTTCCTCCTATAGAAACTACACCTGGACCTGTCATTCTGTTCGTCTCTCCTTCCTGTCCTCTCAAACCCAGCCAGTCAAAGCAGATGGCTGCTCGTCCTGAGCCTGGTTCTTCTGGAGGTTCTTCTGTTAAAGGGAGTTTTTTCTTTCCACTGTCTCCTGTGTGCTTCCTCAGGGTGAGAGACTGTGATGAAGATTCAACACAATCTGCTGCTTCCTTAGATTAAAAATGTTTTAATAATCGTCTTTTTTTATATATATGAATGTTTCTGTTCAGTGCCCTGAGACGACTTCTGTTGTGACTTGGTGCTAGATAAATAAACTGAAGTGAAGAGATGTGTCAGCACCTTGGCATGAATCTCGTCCACCCCTGGCGCTCTGCTTACAAGAAGCTTTTGACTACCTCTGTGACCTCTGCCATGATGATGCACCCGGAGGATGCAGACTCTGCAACCTGACGAGGATGAGGAATTTGAACCTTTACCCATGTGTTAATTACAGTAAACACAGGGGAACATAGAGATTACTCTGAAACTGTGATTTAACCAGCAGAAAACAGGAAGTCGCTCATTTAAACTAATGGATGTTGCTGTGAAAACAGGATGTTTGGGGGCACACAGGCTCAATGTTCATAAAAGGGTTAAAATGCTGATAATTTAATTATTCTCCATCTCGCGCTGTGCCAGCTTGTAGTCAGTTCCCACCTCACCGTTCATTATATTAATGTATATTGATGTATTAATTGTTCCTCAAGTGTTTCTGGTGTGAAGACTCGTGGTTTCCACATCAATAACAGTTTCCCAGCATGCCCTTAGAAATGCCAGTGTAGAAATGGGAGTTCAGCAGCTGTGAAGTTGGCCGTGCACGTCTCTACAGTTAGTTCATGAATGATATAGCTGGAGTTTTGTGTAAAAAAGGCGTTAGCTGTGCTTCTGAAACAGTTTCCTGAAGTGCAGGTTGTCTGTCCTCTGCTGGGAGCCACTTGCTTCATTTGGCTGATTGTAAATTCAAATAGAAACCAAACAGAAACAGCATTCTGATGACAACAAAACAAACCCATGTGAAGATACACACCGTTGGCAACATAAGTGATTTTACACGTGATGTTGTCCCTGCTAATCTCTTTGTCCCCTTCTGGTGGACTGACCAAGGTCTGACAGATCATGGCAATGTTGATTTTGGCTCGGACACATCTGCTGGTCAGCTGTGCAAAGAAATGGACCCAAGAGTAAATGAAAGCCAGCAGGAGTTTGAACAGGACAGAAAGTGAACAGTCTCATTTCTTGTTGTCACCTGAGCATCCTCATGGTCCACAGAGAAGTTGCAGACCAGCCACGTGTCCGGGTCATTCTCATCGTTGGCCACCATCTTTCTCATGGCAGAAAGGTACAACACGTCCCTCTGAGAAGCAGGCCACACCCGCTGGAACACAGGACATGACTGGTTCACTTTGAAGGACCTAAACGTTCTGGTACAGACCAGCAGGTCGTTTTAATTCAAACAAGTAGACATGTCATATATTGAGCCCAACGCTCTCACCTTGTGTGTCTGATAAACAACCACTGCGCTGTCTGATAACGTTTCCACAATATTAAAGTTCTCAATGGTAGCTAAAGAAAGAGAAACCTTCTGATGAGACAGTTTGTTCAGGTGTCAGGACGACAGCTGGCTGCTTGCATGTGGAGCTCAAAGACTTACTTTCCCAGTCATTGCGGTACGTAGTGTCCCAAAAGAAGTGGCAGACCTCATGACCAGTGACCCCCTTCACTGAGTGAGTGGCCTTCAAAGGATCCAATACGATACCGTTCTCCTCCACCTCCCTCCTGTACACCTGGAGAAACACCACTCAGAGCTCACATCATCTCCAAATACTCATTTTGGATGATTGTCTTAATGTTTACAATTCATTCTCACAGATTAGGTGTTGAACGACTACCGTATTTTTCGGCCTATAAGTTGCGATTTTTTGCATACTTGACATGCCCTGTGACTTAAACACTGAAGTGACATATTTATGTTTTTTTTCCCATATTCATAAAACAATTTTTGGCTGAAATATGACTGTTTTCATTCATTCTGCCTGAAAATATTGAACACTACCATTTTCAGCCGCTAGATGGCACACTAGTAGTATGGCATGCCGTTGTGTCATGTAATAGGTAAAAGTGGTCATTAATGACACAATCGACTTGCCACAGCCTGCCACCTTCGTCCAGCTCACCTGGAGCAACCGTCAAATTAGATTCATTTCGCTGCCCCGATGAAATGCAGCTGATTTGACCATTAAAGTGCATTAATTAAGTAAAAGTTCAACTGAAACACACATTTACTATGATGTCGCGCAAACAAATAATTGTTTTTAGGTGCTTATCTTGTTAAATTCTTTTTAAAGTCCTCCCATGCACGCTACCATGGCCGTCATTTGGCAGCCAATCAATTTTTGGCACAACACCAGCCACATTTCCAGGTTGTCAGAAGTGACGTGTAACAAACGTGACGCATCAGCGATGACGCAGAATAGATGCGACCTATACGGTGAAGCAACGTATTTATGTTATTTTCCACTTTATTTGACATATTTGGACTGATGCGACTTATAGGGCGGTGCGACGTGTATGGCGGAAAATACAGTACATATTTTTAAAAGTCCACTTCAACATGATAACAGTCAGGTCGACGTCGACTAGTCGTGACGTCATAGGAACTCAAGATGCTACTATCATATTCACAAAAAACGTCATTATTTACAAAAAAAAGAACAAATAAAACATTAGAAGAGTATATTTACGCTCCTACCATTTATCATACTGCAAATAAGTCACAGGAAAACCAAAACTATTATTAAGCTGTAAAAGTTACTTTTACAGTTTACTTATTTTATTTAATCCACAAAATAAAATTTTATTTAATAAAATAAATTTTATTTAATAAAATAAACCACTGCAGCGGTGGTGGATTATTTTATTTAATAATTAAAAAAAAAAATAGGTAATTTAAAAAAAAAAACAGAGGTGCTGCGCACCCGTTTTTAATTTTTTTTTTATTAAATAAAATAAACATTCTCCACCAGCAGTGTTGCGCCCCCGTTTTTATTTTATTTAGTGAATTAAATAAAATTAAAATAAAAACGGGGGGCGGTGATCAGCACCGGGTGGTAGCGTGACACAATCACGCAACTGCGCGACTAGTCAACACGAAATTCAAAACCTCGTGAGAAGTCCTAGAATCGAGCAGTCGGTCCAACTTCTATCACACATCCATTTTTCTTCCATACAGTTTTCGGCTCATAACTCGTTCCTCTGTCGTTCTTTTTTCAACACTTCATTTCAAAACGTTCGGCTCATTCGGGACATTCTTGCTGGGACTTTTGCTATTTGTGCAATTTTAACTTTTAGAAATATTTAGCTTGTTTTTTTCTCAGTGAAAATTAATGGAGGTCTCTTCACATCCTTCAAACCATTTGACCGTTTAAAACCTTTTACTGCTCATTTGAGCTTTTTCAGCTTCACTGTGCTAATTTAATCTTTTCAGTAATTTAATCTTTTCAGTAATTTAATTTTTTGTGCTCTTTCAGGCTTTTGGAGCAAATTTTAGTTATTTTTGTGCTTTAATCAATGAGTTTCAGTTGATTTTCTGCAAACTTTAACTGTTTTGTGCTTTGTTAAAAGCTCCTTCTAGTTTCATCTTTTTATGTTCCTTTTGTTGTGGTTTTTGTCAAGTCTGGCTTTTTTACATTCCTTTCTTTTTTCTGGCTAATTTCAGCATGTTTCTACTACTTGGAGCTTCTTTCTGATATTATCAGCTTTTTTCATCTACTTTCAGTTTCTTCCCTCTACTTAAGCTGTTTCAGCTTTAAAGTAAGCTTTAGCTTGTTCAGCAGCTTTCAGCCGAATCACACAGCAGAAAGCGTCCACTCTGCATTTTCACAGGAAATCAAATTTCTCTAGTTTCACTTGGATTAATTTAAACACCGGTTCAGCTACCGGTAATTACAGATTCATGTTACACTGAGCACAAAATTAGCTTTTTAAAATGTATTATATCACATTTTTGCGTGTGATTCAGGAAGTAGAAGTACCTTCATCTCTCCTTCTTCTACAACCAGCTGCCAGTTGGCGTCTCCTCCAACATCCTGAAGGGAGTAGGTCATGTGATTCTGCACCATCTCCTCCACCTTCACAACAGAAACACAAGCAGAGAGCAATTTGTTTTCTGTTTTTAAGAGCCAAAAACTTGTTTATGAAAGATGTTGTTCCCCTACAGAGCTGAACGAATAATCCCCTCACATAAAACTCGTTACCTGGTTGGCCTTTAGTACTAAATTAAAACTCATCAGTTCATTCAGAAGAACCTGCAGCCACATCAAATACACACTGACAACACAACAAGAACATTCATGATCACACGGTCACGTCTGCAAAAGTTATGGGGAAACCTGATCCAGGGCTGTGGGGGGAACACGATGACGTGCATTGGTTGAAATTCATTTCAAGTGTTGGAACAAAATACCAATCAAGACCTTTTTCATAGATCAGTATCAGAGCACACTGAGCTCAGAGGTCAGTGCAGGGGAAATAACTGGGAGATAAAGGAGAGGCCAGACTGAAATGATTTAGACATGTCCAGAGGAGGGACAGTGGGTATACTGGTAGAAGGATGTAAGAAATGAAGCTGCCAGGAAAAAGACAAAGAGGAAGGCCTGATGGGGCCGAGATGGTGTAGGGGCAGGGCAGCCGACTCGGGACCCGAAGGTCCTGGGTTCGATCCCTGGTCATTGCACATGTTGTGGTGTCTCTGAGCAGGACACCCAATCCCAAACTGCTCCCCGGGCGTCTACATAGCTGCCCACTGCTCCACCTGGGTGCATCCCAGGTGTGATGGGTTAAATGCAGAGAATCAATTTTGTCTTTGTATGGGAACATACTGTACAATGATGACAACACATAGCACTTTATTATTATTATTATGATTATTATTAACAGGAGATCTATGGATGCAGTTAGAGAGGACATGGAGGGAGTTGGAGTGAGGACAGAGGATGCAGAGTGAGACGGAGGAGGAGTCACATGGAGACTCCTGAAGAGGGAACAGCTGAAAGAAGATGATTGTAGATCAATCTTGATTAGAACATCTCTAGTTGAATTTGATGACGGGGCAGAACAACAACATGATTGTTTTCAGGGACATGGGTCCTGTGGGACTGAAACATTACCCTCCTTTAAACACAAATCTGTCTTTCCCTTGTTCTCTTCTATGTGTACACTTTGAATGTGATAACTCAGAGCCAAGCACGATCATTTACTTGGAAAAATTCAAAGTATGTTTCTTTTTCAGGAAGGAAGTTACAATTGAAGTGGTTGTTGGACACTGAAAGTTGTGAATGTGCGCACTGTGAGGAAGAGCTTGTGTGTTTCTGTGTGTGGAGCTGAAGCAATGTCCAAGCATAATAATAATATAATAATAATAATAATGTCATCACAATGTCAGCACTGTATGTTTCCATACAATGGCGAAATTAGTCTCTGCATTTAACCCATCCACCACCAGGTGGTGCAGTGGGCAGCTATTGAAAGCGCCCGGGGGACATTTTGGGGATGAGGTGTGCTGCCCAAAGACACCACGTGATGTGCAGTGACTGGGGATCGAACCTGGGACTTTTGGGTCCCAAGCCGGCTGCCCTGCCTCTACATAAACATGTTTTAAAGAAAGTATAAAGAAATTATTTTCATGAAACATAAAGATACTGTATGTAAAACATGATGACAGCCTGGCTTTAGCTACCTGACTATTATAAATATGTATTTTGTTGTCACAGATGGTTGTACCAATAAGGAATTAGATAAGTAATAATTGATAATTAACGGTGAAGGAGTGGGGTTAAACAAGTATTAACTTCTTCCCACTGCTTTTGGACGCGAGTTACACAAAAAGTGGAGTGAAACTTGTGCAATTTTTGATTTTATGTAGGGTTTTATTTTACCTTTGTGTTCCTTCTTTGCTTAAAACGATTGTATGAAGTTAACATGTTTGAAATAAACCAACAAACAAGCTAACATACAAAAATAAAAACAGAAAGATTTAAAAATGTGATCAGAACCAGGCAGTAAAACAAACGGCTGAACAGTGAACAGGACAACGTTGATGCTGTACACCAAGTCCACCAACACCAGAGTCTCAGTTCAGGTGTTCATAATGAAAACTCATGCTTTGTGTTGGACACATTTATGGAATAATTTTGAAAAACATATGCAGTTATTGGAGATCCAGTTGTCATGCAAACACAGTCAGCTTTCAAGACGAAGAAGTTTGACAGTGTCTGAGCTGAATCTGTGATCATGACTTCCTCCCTACAAGGCTAAAGAGGAACGAGAGCAGAGACTGATGAACATGTACAAAAAGCTTGTGATTCTAATAAATGAGGGCCAGACGTGTGGAAGGACTGAAGCTGCTTGTAGAGTTTGAGGTGCTGAACATTGACCAACCTTATCAGAGAATCTGTGTGTGCCCGAGCAGGAGTAGATGTCTCCACAAGACACAGGACTGGATCTCTGGATCCTCACCTTCTCTGTGTGACACTAGACACAAACAAACAGGACGTTTAGTCACAAGCATAAATCTAAATTAGATTTAATTCACTGTTTATATCCAGAGAACATTCACGTAAGAAGGTGCACATTTATCATCAACTGAGACGTCAAGGCTGGAGATGAAACAAGATGTTATGAAAAGAAAACATGTGAAGAGTTCTGGTCCAGTTGAAACCCCCTGCTGATGCCTTTGCTCACATTATTAGTCAAGATGTCTCCACCAGCAGCAGCTTCAACAAATGTGTTGTGCACCAGGACCAATCATGAGCCTCTGCAGCTACGTGCTGACGGAAAGAGTTTGTGTTACACATTTATTTCAAACAAAACCAACTTAAAAACTTAACTTAACCTTAATCCCAGAACCACCAGGACTCTTCCTAGAGCTGGCCGGTTGTCTAAACTGATCAATCACCTGAGCGTTCAGTTTAGATCACTCAGTTGTAACATGCATCATGTTAGCAAACTTAAAGTTGGTGACACCTAATTTAGCAGGAGCTAACTCCGCTGACGATTTCCAAAGTTAGAAAAATGCTAATCCGCTAAATGAAAAATTTGTTTAGCTACTAGCGGATCAGTGGAACGGCCCACCACTGCAGACCATGATAGCTCCGCCTTTAAAGAGGTGTATAAAAAGTTGGTCCTTGAAAAACACAAGTGGAGAGATGCCAGTCAGTTGAGTTTGTGGCGAAGCTTTTCCCCCTTAAAAACATTGTTGAACATCTTGTGTGGTAAGCCCAATTTCTTATCTTGTCCCGTCTCGTAGGATAAGTGTCTCATTACACATCTATTGATAGCTTCAATATCCTTTTTACCTGTTCCTCGATTTTATCTTGTCTATCCAGAGCAGCTTCCACTGCATCAAAGAACTCGTCCTCGTTTATCAAACTGTTTGGACCTTCCTGGAGGCAAAGGAAAAAACTTCAAACCCATGATCTACTGCACAAAGTCATGTAAAGGAAAAATAATCACAAACATCTGACCTCATAATCTGGACCCCCGAAGTGAGATTTTTTCTTCAACTCATTGAGGGCTGATTTATAGCCGTCTTCTATTCTCCGTCTCTTTTCCATCTCCTACACAAGCACACAAACCAATCATAACCAAGAGACCTCCTACACTTCATCTGTTGACTTGAACATGACGGCAACCCAAACACTGCAGACCTTGTCCAGTCTCTTCTGCCAGCTGTCTTCTCTCTTCACCATCAACTCGATACAGTGGGACAGAGTGGCTAAAATACCAGCTGTGGTGGCCTTAAACGTGATCGCCTCCCCCTTAAAGTCTATGCCATTCAGTTCCTTCGGGCTCAGGGACTGGAACACTGCAAAAGAAGAGCAGAAGAACTACAGTCACTACTAGGGAACTTAAACAAGTTGAACTGTTGGATGAAACCTTTTTATAGAAACATTAAAGGGATTATTCTGTTACTTTTAAGTGAGGGCTGTAAGGAACACTTCAGCGTGCAGGAAAAGAAAGTTAGGAGAAATACTTGAGAACAAATTTCAGATCTATTCAGAAGAGGGACTAAAGAAGCACGACGGATGGACAGACGGATGGATGGATGGGAATAGCAAATAGAGACGGAATCCTGAGGCCACCGAACCGGACTCCATCAGCCCCCTGGCTGCACCGAGAAATTCTGTCCATTAAAATTACAAACAGAATCAGTGACAACAGGCAGCCCTGGTGGAGTCCAACAGCCTGTAGCAACGGGCCCCCAATCGCATACTCACAAAGCCCCGCCCAGTGTACCTTGAGGAACATGGTCGAAAGCCTTCTTCAAGTCCACAAAACACATGTAGACTAGATAGAAAAACTCCCATGACCCATGGAGGACCCTAGTGAGGGTAAAGAGCTGGCCCAGTGTTCCACGGCCAAGACAGAACCTGCGTTATTTCTCCTGGATCTGAGGTTCGACCAACGACCGGACTTACTTCTCCAGTACCCCTGAATAGACTTTACCAAGGAGGATAAGGAGAGTGATGCCCCTATAATTGGAGCACACCCACTGGTCCCCCTTTTTGAAGAGGAGAACCACCACCCCAGTTTATTAATCCATAGGCACTGCCTCTGATGTCCACATGATGTTGCAAAGGCGTGTCAACTAAGACAGCCCCACAACATCCAGAGCCCTGCCACCATGGAGCTTTTTAACTACCTTCAAGTTGTGTTTATTTGTCATATGCAAGGTCAACACAAGGTCAACACAAGGTTAACAGTACAATGAAATGCTTAGGATGAGAAGAACCGATTTGACTCGCTAAAAAGAATCAAACAAAAAACAAGAAATACTAAAGCATGCAATAAGGGCACAAAAATAAAGAACCAAAAGGTGAAAAAATAATTATAATATTTACAAGGTCCTAAAGAGAGATAGTAAACAACAACATGGCAGAATATAACGGTACAAGCAGCATGAGAAGCTTTATTTTAAATCATCAAGCATGACTGGAACCAAGCCTTTAGTCCCCCTCGGCGAACGACCAGGCCACCGGGAAGTGTCCTGATGCTCCGAATGCACAGTTCATCCCCAACCTGCTGCAGACCTGGAAAATAATTCATTTTAAATAATTTTGGACCTGTGATGGTGCTTTGTTTTCCCCTCCTCCTTCTTTCGGCTGCTCCCTGCGTTAGGGGTCACCACAGCGAACAAGTTGCACAAAGACCTGGCAATTATTTCTACACCGGATGCCGTTCCTGACACATCCACAGACCACCGAGCTACCACAGCCCTCTGTGTAGAACAAAGAGCGGCTATCTAGGACACCTGGAGGAGCAGATGGTGTGGGTTAAGGGCCTTGCTCAAGGGCCCAGAATGTGACAAATGAGGGGGGGAGCAGGTGTGGGTGATTCACCTACCCCACCCACATTTTTGATGTTGTCAGTACCGGGAGTTGAACCGCGATCTTCCAATCACAGGCCCACCCTTCTATAACCTCTGCACCACCACTCCCCATTGTGCTTTTATTTTATTTAAAAAAAAAGGAAAAAATATTTTTGTTCACTTTTGTTAACAAAGATATTTGTTTAAAGTTTTGTCAGGAGGAGAAAGTCAGCTGTCACTCTGTAGTACTCGATCACCGGTGGAGACTCCGAAGCTGCGATGACATCAGAGGGAACTGAGGTTTGGATGGAAGGATCACGTGATATGTGAGTGAAAGTCTAACAAACGCTCAGAATGTGGAGCTTGGTTCTGACAGCTCAACTCAGAGTCTGGGGTCTGAGTTCGTGGTCAATACAGGCGTGGGTCATTCACACAGAGGCAGGAAAGTGAAATTATGTGGGTTTTAGCTGGAATCTGAGGTCCAACCTTATTTTAAATGATTTAGCACCTGCTACAGCAGGTTGGGGACGAACTGTCCACTTAGAGCATCAGGATATTTCCCGGTGGCCTGGCCGTTCGCCAAGGGGGACTAAAGGCTCCGTTCCAGTCGCGCTTGATGATTTAATATAAAGCTGCTCATGGAGTGTTAATTTAAACTATTACAGTATTTAAATTTAAATTGTATATTTACACAGAAGGAGGGAGATTGGGAGTGATGAGCACGAACGCGATTGTTGCGGAGAAGTGGGCGTGGCAGTAAGCATGACATGCTGTTTCACAGTGTTTAGAGTTTAGAAAATTGTTAGGAACATAGCAAGCGTGTGGGGTTTAAAACAACTTATTACTACAACTAACTACTACTACTACTACTTCATGGTTTTTCACTTATCGTGCGGGGGGGGGGGGGGGGGGGGTTCGTAACACCCGTGATAAACGAAGGACTACTGTATTCGTTCAACCTTTATTTAAACAGATAAATCACATTGAGCCTCGAAGACTCATTTACAAGTGAGACCTGTTTGGACAGACAAAAAAACAGTGGTTAACTGGACACATGTAGGAGTTGAAGGCAAAAAAAATTCCTATCAGACTTTTTTTTTCCTGCCTGAGAAAAAAAAACCTCTAATATTAAAAAAACACCTCGCACAAACAAGCACATAGTGACGTAGACATTCTGCAGACAGAGGAGACAAGATCAGTCAGCAATGTTCATAGATGCTCTCGAGGTCATTGTAAGAGTTCTGATAAGGATGGAAAATCAGTCAATGTCCTCTGGTGAGATCCATAAACATTATCTAGGTATGTCGAGGAATGGCCAAGAATAACCTCTGAGTATCCAAGAGTCCTGAAATTATGACAAAGTTTTTTCAGCGGGGTTTCACCTGGTTATCAGTTGGAAATTCCTCAGGGAGGGGGTGGTGAGCATCAGATCACATTTTCTCCAGGCGACTTTAGAGAAGATGACCTTCAAGGACACCAAGGCGACCAAAATTTAGATAAACACACAGTTGTTTTGGAGACAGGCAGAACTTAATGACATCAACCTTGAGTCTGTGTTTGGTCCACTCGGTTCCGAAATGTCCATATTAACATGGTCACACCGATGGAACATGTCTGAGTAAAAATCCCCAAGATCTGATCCATTCAGCCCAAAGCATTTGAGTCTGGGTACTCGAGACATGAACCAAACCATCATAAAGGCAAGCAGCGTGATCGGGTCCAAATTTGCTGCAGATGACTTCCTTGATTGTAGATAAATACCAGGACCAGCTGAATCCAAAAAGCAGGAACCGGTTATCGTGAATCCAATTAAATATGCGTCCTTAAAATCCACAGATGGCAGCAGAGATAGACACATCAACAAGTCTTCCAGTCGATGAGATATCCAGCTGCGTACGTGCCAACAGGGTAAATCGGCTCGCCTAAAGCCTGTCTTCTATTGAAGAAATGTTGTAAATTAAGTTGAGGGACCAACTGGTCAGAACAAGTCCATAATTATGGTTCGGAAGAAACGCAAGAGAGTCTCAGAGTCTCAGAAGCAGTTTCACAGACAGACAGAGCAGCAAAGCGGAGAGGGAGGGAGGGAAGCATCCGATCTCAGCTTGAGCAAGTGGTGAAGTGATAATCTTAAAAAGTAAGATAAAGTATAAATCTTCACCTGCCGTGTGTGCATGTGTGGTTCTTTTGAATAAACGGCATTAGTGAGAGAAAATGTCTCCAGCACAAACATTAAGGGGTATTTAGTGGAGAGTTAGGCAATACTCACGTTTTTCTTTGCTGCCATTATTGTTGTGCAGAAATTCTTCATCTGTGCGGGTGTTAGGAAAGTCATCTTCATCATCCTCCATAACTGAAACAAGAGAGTCATATTCAGAAGGAAACAGCTTCGCCCACCTGTCTTGTAATGTAAGGATTTCTGAACAGAGTTCAGTCTGGTGCCCCTGATCCCAGCAGAGTCTGCAGCAGGCTGACAAGACTCTGCTGGGCTGAACCAGCTGACAATGGTCCAGTTGCATCTTTGGAATGGAGAGAGGATAGGAGGGGAGGAGAGGAGAACAACAGCAGGGTCTCATTCCCCGGTCGTACTGCTGTGAACCAGTGTTCAGCCAGTCAACGCTGAGGCGCTCTAAAGAATCACTGCTGTGTGAGTCACACCCCAACAACACACTCCTTATTCTATTTGCTGCTTGTTTCTTAGAACTGGAATGTTTTTTTTCCGGGTTGAAAATTTATTAGTTTTTATTTTAGGTTCAAAAAGTTATTACTGTGACCTAATAATTGTTTCGACTGATTGTTTTGTTATTTTTAGTTATTTTATCCATTTGTTCACAATACAACCCCAAAATAAAAATGATCAAAATAATATTTCATGTACAAACTGTATAACAATAAAATAAAAAAAAATCATTTTGTTTGCCAAAAAAAAAAAAAAGAAGCTAGAAATTATTCTTAATTTTTGTTTGTGTTCAGTCATTTAAGTGAATAATTCATTCAGTTTGAGAAGAAAAACAAAGCGTATAAGGTCAATATTCTAATAAAATATTTACCCTGAAAAATAATTTGTGAATATATCTACAGTGATGACCACTGGTTTGAAAACAAGCAACGTGCCGATGTCCTCCCATCCCTCAGACATTTGAATATTGAACTTTTGTTTTGGACATGAGTGGAATGCAAGTAAAGCTAAATGTTTTCAAGTTGGGAGGAGTTACACTGTAGAAGAACAGAGCTTTCTTTTTTCTTTCTTTCTTGTCGGAGGCAGCGCAGAGTGATGGATCCTGGCAAGTGGAGGGAGCAATTTTATCCATCACCCAGGTGCAATAGTGGAGCCAGGGGGTGGCCAATGGGGGCCTGGAACACTGTTGGCCACCCCAATTATTTGAGGAAATTAAATTTTTAAGCAATATAAAAACTAGAAAGAATATCTTCCTCAAATGATAAGGATGGTTAGTTTATATATAAATGGTATTAGTCACATAAGATTTTACTGTCAACCCAATTTTAATAGCGACTTTTCTTATGCCTAGATGCAGCCACACACCTAAATGGATGTCAGCACGTTGCTTATTTTTGCACGTTATTGTGCTCATAACATACATGTACAGATCACAGAGTTTTATAAACCAATAGAGGGTGCTCTGGTCACATGACCGTGTGATTCACTGCAACAATGGTGGTCATTATAAAAACAACCAAACATCTGCACCTGGGGTTTTGACTATATAGCTCTGAGTAAGAGCTGAGCATGTAAAAAAATGTCTAAAATATAATAATAATATATTAGAATGTAAAAATGACAGAAAGATGTATATGTTACGGATGTTAGCGGCAGAAGAGAAAAGGGAAAAGGTGTTTCCTTTCATAAAACAGCAGATTTCTTCTCGTTTACCTCGTGAATGTGACTGGACCTGAACTGGAGCCGATGATGGAACTGTTTAAAAGCAGCCTGTAGAGCTGAAGATGGCTGTTAATGACTCAACTGGAACATAGATAGTAACTTCAGTAGAAGATATTGTTTTTCTGTACGGGTCGAATCATGCTACAATTTAGAACAAATTATTAAATAGCACAAGCTGCTGTTTCCAGCAGCACGGTGGCTCAGATGGTAGCGCTGCTGCCTCTCAGCAAGAAAGTTGCTGGATCGAATCCTAGCAGTTTGCATGTTCTCTCTGTGCATGCATGGGTTTCCTCCCACAGACCAAAAACATGCATGTAAGGCTAACTGGTCATTCTAAATTGTCCCTAGGTGTGAGTGTGAATGTTTGTCTCTATGTGGCCCTGTGATGGATTTTTCATTCAACCTTTATTTATACAGGTTCGTCTCGCCGAGCCTCGAGGACTCATTAAAAGAGAGACCTGTTTGAAACAGATTTGCGACCTGCCCAGGGTATGCTCACACAGCGCTCGCACTCTCGCACAATGACCCCCGCAACCCAGAAAAGAAGAAGTGGGTCAAGATAATGGATGAATTACATGAAGTTATTTAGTTATTATTCAGATCCAGTTGTGCTTGCTGTTGAACCGTTGTGAGCAGTTGCCTGTTTTGGACATCATCTTAGCTTCGCCATGATGTCACAAATGGGCGGGATGGGCACAGCATCCTCTAGTGGTTTTGGACAACTCTATAGCTGTGGTTCTCAAACTGGGGACCCCAGACCCCTGAGGGTCCGCCAAACAAACTTAAAAATAATAATAATAAAATTAATAAATAGCAATAATAATAATAACAATAATAATAACAATAATAACAACAATAATATACGATTTATTTATTTATTACAAGCATTTAGATGTTTTTGCAGCCTGTTGGAATGCACCAAAATGCAGGAAATCACGTTTACTTTACTCAAAATTTTCTGGGTGAGGACCGACGACCCCCCCGCGCCTGACACCTATTTGCATTCCAGCATAGATGTGTTTACAAATGAAGCCCTGCTACTTGGTCCGACTGCTGCTGTTCTCATTCTGTTCAGTCTTTTGTAAGTTTTCTGTAATAATTTGCAGAAGTGGCGATACATTTATTATGTTCATTGTGTGAATAGGTAAAGTTTTAAAGTGTTTTTATTGGAAGTTGAAATGAAACATTTTGTTAAGTTTGTCTTGAATGAAAAATATTCCATGTTTAAAAGTATAAAAATTGTATTAACACTATTAAAGAACAGGTATTAAGTGTTTCTGTTACACAAATATTTCCATTGCATTAAAGAGACAAACTGAACTAAATTATTTAATAAATGCTCATCCACTCCATTAACTTTTGACAAATAAAAAAGTGTACTTCAGATATTTTCACTCACGTAGTTCTTATATTGCTGCTGAATTTCCCAGTATGCTTTGTCCAACATGTTGAGCTCTATTTAGTTGTTTTATGATTGAAATATAGATCATGTGACACCATGAGTGTGAAGTGAGGAGGCGGAGCTTAAAGCATCACTGATGCATCGACACTGGTCCCAAAAATAGTAGCAGCTTCTGTCAACAAAGTCCTGCTTGCTTCAAGTCCCAAAAAAGAAAGAAAGAAGGAGGGGACACTTGGTCTGTAATAAAATCATCTACACTTTAAATGAAGTATGGTCAGAGGAGCCTCCCCTCAGTGGTATTGAATTTTAAGATCATGTATTTGCTTCCCTGAGACAGCAAGCATCTACTGCAGTCTGTGTTCAAACCACAAAAATGAGAATACAACTGAATCTGCAGATATTTTTAGTACAGAGTGTTCGTGGATCTTACTTTTGTCTCTCTGCAGCTCATCCTTGGACACAACGTCTGCACAACTATCGAAGTATTTCTGAAGCGTGTCCACCTGCTTGCACAAGATGTCTCTGAATGTCTCCATCTCTGCCAGCTTCTCCTTCAGGCTGTGACCCTTCTGAAGGAACAAGAAGACTTTTGTCAACTTTTTCCTTCAACAACTGTGGTAAATGGTAAATGGACTACACTTATATAGCACCTTTCTATTTTATTCAACATACTCAAAGAGCTTTACACTACAATCATTTACCCATTCATCCAGCACTCTACTATATACAAGGACTAATCAGAGCTTTAGATCACATTCATACACCGATGGGACACAATCAGAGGCAATGAGGGCTTCAATGTCTTCCCCAGGGACACTTCAACGTGACTGCTGGTGGAATTGAACCCCCAACTCTCCCACGGGAGGACGACTGCTCCAAGCACTCAGCCCTAACCTTACTATGTAACCGTGCCTGTATCCACCTTATTCCTGGGGGGCTCTACTGTATAAAGGATTATGAGTACAACTTCCTGTCAGACACAGGAAGTAGCAGTAAGCACTGGTTAGCCATGGTAGAGGAGAACGGACCGCGGTTTATTTGAAAGTAATTTACATTCAGTTTAGCAGATAAAACATTTTTGTTTTGTTCACATTTATTTAACAACCATAAAGTTTACCGTGCTGAGTTCAGGTACTTGTTGTGTTCACGGTTACATTAACAACCAGACCAAACTCAATCAGTAACTACAACAGACTTTTGAACACAAACCCAAAACAAAAAGTTCCTGTGAAAAGAGGTATAGTTTCCATCTCCTACCTACAGAGGAGGAATTAAGAAGAATGTGACTGAAAAATGTGAACTTGAAGAGACCACCCAAAACTCTGTATGTGAGCTCATTTTTAGAGCCAATGCAGACATGTTCTTGTTTTTAGTTTTCTGCATCACCTTACACTCTAGCTGGGTTACATTTTCTTTTAAATACCATTTTATTTACACTTGTTCTTCTCAATTTGCACATATCCTTTATGACTGTCTATTGCTGCCTTTGCTGTCCACTGTTGTCATCACTTTTTGTTAAAATTCAGGTCTCTTTTGTAAATGAGTCCCTGAGGCTCAGTGGGACTAACCTGTATAAAGAAAGGTTGGAATTTTTCACTTTATTAACAAACGGCTGACGGAGGAAAACCTGCATCCTACTTTGTGTCTGGACTACAATAAACCACCGGAGAAGAGACGCTGGATCCTCAGAAGGATTGAAAACAGTGACGAGAACATCAGGGATGATTTCAAGTGTATGGAGGTCACAGCTTCATAGTATTTGTTCATCTTCGTGATTATGATTTTCTCTGCAGTTAACCCAAGCTCAGTGATGGAGGATTTTAAGGCTTTGACTGGGCTCCGTCTGATTTAAGGTAAATAAGATTGTGTCCCACCTCTTTTAACAAAACACCACCGACCTTATTACTGTGTAGATACTAATACTCCTGAGAGCTTTTCCGGTTGTTCAGGTCTTCACCGTCAGAAGAACAGAGTCAGTGAAGTAGCTAAATATGCTAGTAGATGTAATCTGCAGCCACTTCTTCAGCTCGTCCTCCATCCCTTGTCTGCAGCGGTATGATTATATTGTCCTGTTTGAGCTCTGACAGGTGGTGTTCCTACATGTTTAAATTAAATCCACAATGCTCAGAGAAACTACATTAGTTCGTACTGTTCGCTCATAAATGCCAGTTCTGGTCTGCGCTGGAAGTTGCCCCCATAATTCACGCAAGGCAGCATGGGAGCTAGTAATAAGGTGGACAGATGTACTGAAAAAAAATGTCTGTTTTCTCAGGCACCCCTCCTCCTCACGTGTGCCGATACAAAACTGAAGCCGGTGACTGTCAGCTGGAGCAAGCCCTGAAGTGACAACTTACCTTGAAGGAGGATGTGGAGGTGGCAGAGAAGCTGCTGGTGGCTGATGTGAGCGACAGCATGGAGCCGTGTCTCCGCAGACTGGACTCAGAGCCATATCCAGAGTCGGCCTGTGGAATAGGTTGCAGGTGTGTTGGTACATTAAAGCGTTTTATCAAAGAATAAATCCTACAGCACAGATAGTGTTTGAAACAGATGAACTGAAGTCACTCTTGTTTAAATGATCAATAACTGGTTTTCTCTGTTTTGTATGTCCACACAACCAAACATGAAATATTTTGTATGATATAAAGTACATTTTCTCTTACAATGATCAAATATCATGCTCTTTTTAAGTTTGTGTTACATCTGACGACAGGCTTCATGTACAGGTCCTTCTCAAAAAATTAGCATATTGTGATAAATGTCATTATTTTCCATAATGTAATGATAAAAATGAAACTTTCATATATTTCAGATTCATTGCACACCAACTGAAATATTTCAGGTCTTTAATTGTTTTAATACTGATGATTATGGCATACAGCTCATGAAAACCCAAAATGCCTGTCCCAAAAAAATTAGCATATTTCATCCCACCAATGAAAGACAAGTGTTTTTAATACAAAAAACACCAACCTTCAAATAATCATGTTCAGTTATGCACGCAATACTTGGTCGGGAATCCTTTTGCACGAATGACTGCTTCAATGTGGCGTGGCATGGAGGCAATCAGCCTGTGGCACTGCTGAGGTGTTATGGAGGCCCAGGATGCTTCGATAGCGGCCTTAAGCTCATCCAGAGTGTTGGGTCTTACGTCTCTCAACTTTCTCTTCACAATATCCCACAGGTTCTCTATGGGGTTCAGGTCAGGAGAGTTGGCAGGCCAATTGAGCACAGTAATACCATGGTCAGTAAACCATTTACCAGTGGTTTTGGCACTGTGAGCAGGTGCCAGGTCGTGCTGAAAAATGAAATCTTCATCTCCATAAAGCTTTTCAGCAGATGGAAGCATGAAGTGCTCCAAAATCTCCTGATAGCAAGCTGCATTGACCCTGCGCTTGATAAAACACAGTGGACCAACACCAGCAGCTGACATGGCACCCCAGACCATCACTGACTGTGGGTGCTTCACACTGGACTTCTGGCATTTTGGCATTTCCATCTCCCCAGTCTTCCTCCAGACTCTGGCACCTTGATTTCCGAATGACATGCAAAATTTGCTTTCATCCGAAAAAAGTACTTTGGACCACTGAGCAACAGTCCAGTGCTGCTTCTCTGTAGCCCAGGTCAGGCGCTTCTGCCGCTGTTTCTGGTTCAAGAGTGGCTTGACCTGGGGAATGCAGCACCTGTAGCCCATTTCCAGCACACGCCTGTGCACGGTGGCTCTGGATGTTTCTACTCCAGACTCAGTCCACTGCTTCCGCAGGTCCCCCAAGGTCTGGAATTGGCCCTTCTCCACAATCCTCCTCAGGGTCCGGTCACTTCTTCTCATTGTGCAGCGTTTTCTGCCACACTTTTCCCTTCCCACAGACTTCCCACTGAGGTGCCTTGATACAGCACTCTGGGAACAGCCTATTCGTTCAGCAATTTCTTTCTGTGTCTTACCCTCTTGCTTGAGGGTGTCAATGATGGCCTTCTGGACAGCAGTCAGGTCGTCAGTCTTACCCATGATTGTGGTTTTGAGTAATGAACAAGGCTGGGAGTTTTTAAAAGCCTCAGGAATCTTTTGCAGGTGTTTAGAATTACGTCGTTGATTCAGATGGTTAGGTTAATAGCTTGTTTAGAGAATCTTTTCATGATATGCTAATTTTTTGGGACAGGCATTTTGGGTTTTCATGAGCTGTATGCCATAATCATCAGTATTAAAACAATTAAAGACCTGAAATATTTCAGTTGGTGTGTGTAGATGAACAGATGCTGAGATATATTCATCAATTAAAATGGATTCTTCATTTTTCTGGACTGAATAAAACGTGCATTGAATTTAACAGAAATGTGGACGTGAGACGTTAATTATCTTTGACTCACCAAGCGAGTGGGTCATTTATTAACAGAATCAAGTTTAACACATCACACATTTACATTAATTTGGCAGAATATGAAAACAACAACATAATTAATCAGCTTTACAACCAGGAAAACCATACGGCCATGATTTTCCGTTGCTTCACCACAGACATTAATGAAAACATCTGGATTAATTTTCTAGCAGAAAGGAGAGTTTAAAGATGGAAAATTGAGATTTATCTTACAGAGAGATGTGTGAGGGAATTTGTCTGTTTTAACCAGAACGTGCACGCTCCTTCGGAAATCAGCTTGTCCCAAACAGTACACTTTTGGTGAAGGTCAACTTTTACCTTTTCTGAAGATAGATCAGTTCCGGCGTGGAGTCTCACTTCCAACCACTGTTCAGCGTCTCAGTGAGAGCAGCCAAATACCTCGAGAGCCGTGCGAGGTTATCCAAACAGAAGTTATAATTCCCAAAATCGTCTCTGGTTCAGCTTGTTTGGCTTAGCAGCATCCATGAATGCCTGCGTTTGCATTCATGAACTCCCAAACTCTCTGCATTCTGGATTCCAAAACTCTTGAACTCTTCTGCTCTCTGCTCTGCTGCTCCATCTTCAAGACTGAGCTTACAGCAGCTTCAAGACTGAGCTGAACTCTCTACCAGAACTCTTCTGGAACTCTTCTCTTTGAACTAGGAAGTGCCAACCTTTTTATGAAGGGTCACTTCCGGTTCATTTGAGAGCTTTTTGATTGGTGGATGGACCAAAGCAGAGGTGTGGTTTGTGATGTAAGGTGTTATGGAAAGTCAAGGATAGAGATTAAGATTGTTTAAGAACAGACAGAAAGATTGTTGGAGAAAACCAGTCTTAGTGAAGCCACCTCTCCTGTATCTCGCTGTAAAAGTTAAACATGACATTTCT